TTTTATATATATATATATATATATATATATATATATATATATATATATTGAACACAACGTGGATATATTACCACACATTAATAAAATATTATATATATGAGATAGTGCCCAAAAACATTAAATAGATAATATATATATATATATATATGTTTACGGTAGGTTTAGAGGATTATTGTATATATTTCGGACTTCATTCTGTTTTTAATTTGACTATTTTGGAGTTTGGATTTAGATTTTAAAAAAACTATCATTTGTTTGTTATATTATTTTACTTCTATTTTTATTATATTTGTTCAAATTTGATTTGTATTAAAAGAATCATTTTCTAAAAGATTTTATTTTTTCATTGGGTTATTTTTTATATTTAATTCCTATTTAATTGAAGAAAATTTTATCTAATCAAAATTTTTGGTTCAATTCGATTCGGATACCTGATTTGAATGAATTTGGTTATGCATATTGACATCTATAAGAGATATTTATTTTTGAATTGTATTATATGTTATGTATATTCACCGCGTAAAAGAAAACTATATATATAATACCCAATTGAAGTTTGTTGAAGGTTGGATACATCCAAACTATATAAGCAATCCTATTTAGAAATTCTTTAAATTAGGGAATAACCACTACAGGGCTATATATGGAATCTAATAAATATAACTTTTTATAATATTCTATATTACATTCTTCTTTTGTGCATGATATATCATATATGGCTTATAGGGTCCAATAAGACTGATCTGTTCATATCCTATTACATTAATCACTTGTATTTTTAATGTATTGTTACTATTATATATATATATATATATTCATGATGCCACACAAAATAACTATCGATGAGTAGACAGTGGTGCCCAATATGGGGACCGCAACTATTGTACCAAGACTCCATATATTGGCCAATGGAGGTCCACTTAATAATATATATTATGATACTAAAATAATATCCTCGTCCCCATCTCCAAAGCCACTGTGAAAATAAACAAAATATATATATATATATATATATATTCTATATATGTGTATTAAGCTTATTGGCTAACAGATCTTATGTGGTTAATGTCAAATGCAATGTCTTTTAATTAAGACAACATCTCCTGTCATAAGCACACACGTAGATATTTTAATCCTTAATTTTGTTTTATGTATATATGTGTGTGTGTTGGTTGAATTTTGCCGGTTTGCGTTTGCAATAGACAACATACCAAATTTGGGGTTACCTATGGTGAATGTCTATGGGTTTTGCTCTCTTTGGTCCAATGTTCAAAGGGGCAATGTTCAAAGGGATATATATGTATGTATGTATGTATGTATGTATGTATGTATGTATGTATGTATGTATGTATGTATGTATGTATGTATGTATGTATGTATGTATGTATGTATGTATGTATGTATGTATGTATGTATGTATGTATGTATGTATGAGTTTGAGCATATTTGGCAGACAAGGGTATTACCGGTGCACAGAGATAGTCAGGGAGGCAAATAATATGAGCTCGTAAAAGATAAAGCGCACTGAAAAAAGAATTTGCATGTTAGTCGTCACCATTAAAGGGAAAGCATTTATTCAACCTTTTTTTTTTTGTTGTCACAGCTCTTCTAAGGATTACATGAAAGAAAAAAAAAACCCCAAAAGGAATCTTAACACAGTGTATGTATATGTATGTACGTATGCATGTATATACACATGTACATGTGTAATGCCCTACAGGAGTTAGATTTGTCGTCGATGGACCCATCAAAGTATTCGATTTGGACTGCATTTCTATTTCATGCGATGACATAAACCGGATCGTTCCACCCTCACTCTGACGTATTCTTATGCTCTTAGTTCGTCTCTCAGACTCTTTTACACGATATGTCGCATCCAAAAAGCCTATAGCGAGTGTGAGGAAAAAAAAATCAAGAACAGAAGGAAAAAGTAACACTATACATGTTTTAGGCATACAAACCCTAGCTAAAAAGAATTGCGACATGCGCATTTGCATGTTCTTCTTCTAAGATCTGCTCTGTAATTGCCGTGCGTGCGTTTCCCATTGTGAAACGGTCCAATATATGCATACAAAATTTGAAAAGTGATCAAAATATTAACTTGCCTTACAAAAAATGATATTTACAGTATATGATCTAGGGTGGACGTTTACCTAAAAGCTGCTGATTTTTAATTTCCTCTTCTTGGATTGATCACTAATCAGTTTATAATTATGAATCGACACCTTTAAACCTTCCAATAATATTTGTTCATCTTTAGGCAACGCACGGAACGATAAAAAACTAATCTCAAATATTGTTTTCATTCCTAAAGTAGGGTTCGAACCCTTGATATCTAGTTAAAAGTTATTGATTTTCGAATGCCCGGTACCACATGTATTTAACAAATGATATCGAAAACAAGTGCAATGGAACCAAAAACCAGGACCAAAGGTATGGGTTCACCCACATGTCTGTGGTCGAGTGATACCTTTGGGTTGGATGTGAGGCTGTGCCTCTTACAGGTCAAGGGTTCGATCCGACATGCGGGGGAGGGAGAGGCGTAGCCAAAAGCTGCGTGTTCAAAGACTGCTTCCGGGTCCAAGGGATGTCGGTTGGGTCGAAGGTCTAGGTGAACCTCGTGATTGACAAAAAAAAAGGTATGGGTTCGAATTTTTCTAGACCAAGACAGAATTTCTCATGGGTATCCGGATAAAAACAAGATTATATACGTTTATGTTTATTTTCTTTTAATATATTTATAATTATATGTAAATTTATGAATGTACTCTTCAAATCAACGTAATTTTAGAAATTCATTTGTTTGAAAAGAAAGAAACAAAACATAAGACCGAGAGAGGTGCCAGTCCAAGCCACCGCCCCCAATCAAATTAGAGAAATAATGCGAAAAGACTGTTATATTTCAACTTTCAACGGTCAAAACGCAATTGATAGGAATACATAATAATCAAGGCATGGAATTAGTGGCGTCATTAGTGAGGTAATTAGGATAAGAAGAGAGTTCGGACGGAAATGATAACAGCTTCATTAAGCCTTTTGTCTTTTTACCTGCAATTCTTATCCATACACGAGTTTATTATGCGAGAGAGCCTTTTTGACTCTATATTTACACTGCTAATTAAAACTTATAATCTTACATTTAATTTCATTTATTTTTTTTATAACTATGAGATTTATTAGACCTTCGAATCTTTGACCAACTTAATCCTTCTAGATTCGGAGTCAATCTTCTAGTCACATAATTAATTGCACTCGTCTTTCCAATAGTAAAATCAAATCCATGACTTTAAAATGACTTTATTACCTCTCAATGACCACCAATTATTGGATAAATACTAATATATACAATCCCGTTCGAGTTCATCTTATTTATAAACAGAGATCCAATTCTTGTCACTTCTAATCCTAAATATATATATTTGTATCCATCTTAATTTATAGTTCGGTTCTTATATATTCCTATTATACATTATATATGTTCTCATTAAATAAGTTTTAATCTATTTAAGAATAAAAAATGGCGGATTTTTATATAAATTTGTTTATTTTAATATTTAGATAATTTTTTATATTATTATACATTTGAACGGTTTTGATTTAATATTGTAAATATGTTTTCAATTTAGAATGGATTATATACCTAACACTATAAATGCGTTCGTTGCCATCATCCATGGCACCCATAAAATACAGCATTACAATGAGGTAAAATAATAGTATCGTTTGATCTTACATATTATCCTTTAATGTCAATAATAACTTTTTTACTAAAAAAATTATGACCCGTAAAATTTGATCTTAGAATATATATATTATTTCCTGTGATAATAATTTCAAAAAAGAAAGAATTTTTTATATAACATTATATTTCAAAAGGCATACACAAGTAAATCGAGTCACAAATAAATAAGATATAATCTCTTAATTTATAAATTTAATTTTGAGAATTTACAATATTTTCCTGTGAAATCTTGATCACTCATTTTAATTTTTTCCCCTAAAATAAAATCTTATTTTTCTCCGGTCTTCGAGCTGGACCTCAGGACGCGGTCGCGCAGTCAAACGCCAACCAAGTCAGCGTCAACGTTTAGCGTTTTGTCCCGCGTTCACTCATCAATCGAAGGCCCAAACCCCAATTTCCTAGACGCATGCGTATCCAGAGAATCTCTCTCTCTCCCTCTCCCCAATGTCTGAATCTGATCATCATCAGCAAGAGCCAAAGATCAACTTCTGGGGCGATACGCCAGAAGACGAGTACTACAATCTCAAAGGCGTAATCGGTTCGAATTCCTTCTTCAATTCTCCCAGAGGTCTCAACCTCTTCACTCGATCATGGCTTCCGATCTCAGACCCACCACGAGCTCTCATCTTCATGGTCCATGGCTATGGCAATGACGTCAGCTGGACATTCCAAGCCACTGCGATCTTCCTCGCCCAGATGGGTTTCGCTTGTTTCGCTCTCGACCTCGAAGGCCATGGCAGATCCGACGGCGTCCGCGGCTACGTCCCTTCCATCGACGCCGTCATCGGAGACTGCGTCTCGTTCTTCGATTCGATCAAGCGAGACCCCAAGTTCCAGGGCTTGCCTCGGTTCCTGCACGGAGAATCGATGGGCGGTGCGATGTGTCTCCTGATACATTTCGCCGACACGTTAGGGTTTGAAGGCGCTGTTTTGGTCGCGCCCATGTGTAAGATCTCCGACAAGGTGAGACCCAGATGGCCGATTGATCAGATCCTGATTCTGATGTCCAGATTCTTGCCCACTTGGGCGATTGTACCGACGGAGGATCTGTTGGAGAAATCGATCAAAGTGGAGGAAAAGAAGCCGATCGCTGCGAAGAATCCGATGAGATACAGGGGGAAACCAAGGCTTGGAACAGTCATGGAGCTTCTTAGGGTTACAGATTACTTGGGGGAAAAGTTAAAGGATGTGAGCATTCCCTTCATCGTGTTACATGGAAGTGCAGATGTTGTGACTGACCCTGAAGTGAGCAGAGCATTGTACGAGGAGGCCAAGAGCAAAGACAAGACATTGAAGATCTACGAGGGGATGCTGCATTCGATGCTGTTCGGTGAACCAGACGAGAACATTGCCATCGTCCGAAACGATATTGTGGGTTGGTTGAATGACAGATGCGGAAACGGAGCACAGGTTTGATGGTTTGTAATATGATCTCGATCAAAAAGTTCCATGCTTTTTTAGTTCTAGATATATGAAATCAGCCAACCACATTTGTAAATTTATCAACCATATATTGTCTTGTTGGATGATTGTCGTTTGCATTTGTTAAGCCTCAAAAAGTTTTGATTTGCACATGTTCTTGATCAAAAGATCCAGGCTTTGTTTCTTCCAGATTTATTAAATGAACCATTTTTTGTAAATTTGGGCACCATATTTGAAATCAGCCATGTTTTGCCAATGAACTGAAGACACCAACAAAGAGAATTCAATATTAGACTGATCAATCACATTGTTCCTGCAACTTCTTTTCCACAAAAAAAAAATATAACTAGAAAAAATGAGGAAACTTTCAATACTGTATCTGTCCTATAATGCAATTTGCCTAAACATTTTCAATCCCCCTAAGCTTTCTCTATACAGTGTGTGACCAAGAGTGAGTAAAAGTGTAGAGAAGCCATCAAAGCTAAAAAAGCTATCATCCTCTCCTGTTGTCTATACCCTTCTCTGCAATACCTAAACTTTTCACATTTCTTATCCAGTGGAATAATCAAATCAGCTTCTATGTGGCAATCGATCCTTCCTTTTCAGAGACCTGTAGCAGTGTCAGCTGTATGTGTTCTCCTTCTCCAGTGTACATGTTTCTTCTAATGTGCACAAGAAAAGAAAAAAAAAACCCGAAACCTATATAATATGTACCAGAGATGTCAAAAAGCACCATGGATCCTCACCCAGCTCTCATGAATCCACCATAAACAGATACTTCAAGTCATCCACACTGAGATGTGACTGCCTACTTCCCTTTTCATCTTCTCCAAATGCAGAGGCCACCATCATTCTCTTCTTTTGCTGCATCAAGAAATATGAGACATGTAAGAATTGATGTGCGGGAAAGAAAGGGCTTTAAACTTGTTCAAAAGAAGAGCACTTCCTATAGAGAGAGCATCACCATTCATTCAAATAGCTAATAGGGCTACACCAATGAAAGAGCAAATTAAGGGAGAACCGATGCAGACCTGAAGGGCCAATATGCGATCTTCAACTGTATCTTTTACTGTGAAGCGCACCACGGTAACTGGACGTGTCTGTCCAATACGATGTGCTCTATCAATTGCCTGATCTTCAGTCGTAGGATTCCACCACAGGTCCAGCATTAGAACATGACAAGCTGCCACCATGTTCAGTCCAAGACTTGCAGCTTTGAGAGACATTATCATGACAGAAACCTAAATGCACCAGCAGAAATATATGTCATTATGTCATTGTTGCTAATTTTATAAACACAGAAACCATCACGATGTATAGCATTTTAGAACCATAGTCCTTAAGATGCCGTTTTTCCCATGTACCTCAGGGAGAGTGTTAAAATCCGTGACTGCTTTATCCCTAGCAACAACCGACATTGTCCCGTCAAGCCTTCTATATTGGATACACGAACTTCTTAGACCAGCTTCAAGTAGGTCCAGCATCTTTGTCCACTGAGAGAACACAATGGCTTTCTCTCCTGCTATCTTGATTGAACCATCCAGACTATTTCCCTCATTTTTAACAGGTGTATCAGGAACACTAGATGACTTTTCAAGTTTCTGGACTTCTCCATTGTGAGAGGTCTGATTCGAATCATTTGCTAAGCTCAGATTCTTTGGTTTGGCCAGCGATTGCAAGACAGCAAGAGCAGCCTTAATTTTGGACGACCCATATGGGAAATTTTCATTACAGGGCTGATCAATCCCAACAGGGCCTGAAGTGGAACAATCCAGTGGAGCATCCATCCCATTCATCTCGGTGAGAGCATTGTTCAGTGTCCCTTTGGAAAATAATGATGCAAGAGTGAGTCTGACTATGCAGTTTGCACTTGGGCACTGATTGTCATCACCAGTAAGGTGTTCACAAATGCACGGCTTGCAGAAAACGTGACCACAGGTTGAAACAACAGCATCTTCAGGTGCATCCTGTTGATGAAGAAGGGTTAAAGGAAAATGTTAGGAGATTTGACAACTAAAGTAACAAATGACAAAAACCCAAGTATTTCTTTTAGACATAAACCTCTACGCATTACCACAAAAGTAAAAGAACAAAAGATAAAAACATTGTGTTCCCCAAATTTCTGTTCATAAAAAACATTATTTCCGTCAGCCAGCTGAGACCTAGATTCTATCTTGCACTGTGAAATAACGTTCCAGGAAATGTTTTCCATGTTCATCATAAAGCCAAAAGAAAATGAGGTGAAGGGAGTTTTCAAAGGTAAGAGAATCGTACATTGCAAATGCCACATATAGCCTGTGAAGCTTCTAAGCAATTCAAAAGAAAAACTTGTTTTTCACGAGGAAGCTTCTTAGCCACTTCAGCCGAGGCTTTCCACGTAGAACTAGATTCATAACCCTTCACGAGAAGAGGGTGATCACAAGCTTGGCGAAGACGCAACAGCATCAACAAAATATTTACATAATTTTGCTTCACAGTTCCAGCTTCTGCATATTCCTGGCAATAACAGAAAGTTTAGGAGTTACAAACAAACCAAAACAATTTCAAGAATGCAGAAGAGCAAACCTTCAAGATACATACATATACAATACCCACATGCGTGTTTTTGTACACAAGTACGTGAATATATATTTTATTGTTCATGTTTTACATACATAGTATGTGGAGAATGTATTCAATGGAATACTAGAGTGAATTGATAACCATACCCTGAATTGATCACGAGAGTCACATTCTAATCTGGAGTAGAAATCACGTTCCTCCTTCGTGAAATCCACTTTTCTCAATTCAATGGACTTTGGAGGTAACGATATTATGGGTTTTCCATCAAGGAGTGTACCTGGTGTGTTTTTACCAGTATAAAATAAAATACAAGGAACCTTAGTGAACATTAAAACATATTATCTCAGTATTAACAAAACCATCAACATATCTAAAGCTTCTTTTTCCATATATGGATAATTAATTAGCACAAATAAATTTTGAATATAGACTGACCTTTGGTTCGGCGAAGCATTATCGTTTTAAGGACAGCCTGCAGCTTCTGATACCCTTTCACTGGGCTCCTACTGATGGGATTCTTTATTGTCGTGCAAAACAATTTGTAGCTAGAGTAAGGGTCGTATTTGAGAAATCTAAAGTAGCTGTAGAGATCATCAATTGCATTCTGGATAGGAGTGCCGGACAAACACCACCTACGTTTAGCCCGAAGACCCCAACATGCTCTCGCAACTTGGGTTTTACGATTCTTGATACTCTGTGCCTCATCTAGAACAACCCTAAACCATGACACCTTTGCAAGAGCACCAGATAATCTCTCAAGAGATGCATAGTCCACACCTTTCCTCTGCTTTGAGCACTTCTTTTTGGCACCTGGAGGATTTTTTCTCTTCTTGATTGTGCAAAATTCAGTAGATGAATTTCCACAATCATCCAAGGAGCTACCTTTCTCCTCTTCGTCTTCTTCTTCAAGAAGAGGCTGCTTTGGCACTTCCATGCTTACAATAGAATATGTGGTAAGGACAACATCACATTTTGCAAGCTCATAGGGGTCCTTTGTTCTGTTGGGACCATAGTAGACCAGGACGGAGAGATTAGCTTGACTAGTCACCTTCTTTCGTAATTCATCAGCCCATTGCCTTAAAACACTAGTGGGACAGACAACAAGTGTTCCAGCAGCTGGCCGTCCCTTCATTTTACCTAAAGGTTGTAAACCGACTTTGTCATCATCGTGTGATATCTGAGATTGATTAGATTCCTCGATTCCTCCATTAAGTTTCGAAAGTGGCCCTTCTCCACTGTCACCTTCTAAATCAAAAATTTCTCTTTTGGAACCTTCTTCACAAGCTCCAGTAAGTGCACGTTGTTCCTTCAGTATAAGCGCTATAGTAGAAATTGTCTTTCCAAGTCCCTGCATACAGAGATAAATGAAAAATAAGAAAAAGTGTATTGTCTTATTAGTTGATAACTGAGAAACCTAAGAAGACTAGAAACTAGCCTGATCATCAGCCAGTATCCCCCCAGAACAGGGGAAGCTACTTGTCTCCTTCTGAACCATCCACGACAAAGCAATCCGCTGTCCATGCAATGGTCAAGGTCAATTTATTTCCAAGAACAAACAAGTATAAACTAGAACCAAAACACAACACCATCAACCACCACTGAAGCTATTACCAAATGCTCCAGATTAAAGACCACCAGAGCCAAACTCTAACATCAGACAATACTTTACAGAATATTCTGAATTCCATAAAGCTTAAAGATCTGTGAATTTAATGTTATTATGATTTATGAACAATAGAACACAGAAATTCCAGCTCCTCCATAGAATATAATTTTTCAGATGCTAAACCTAGTTATTTAGGTTATTTGAAGGGTCGACTTGGCTCAGCGGTAAAACCATTTCCCGTGGGGCCTAAGGTCGCGGGTTTGAATCCATCTCTCTACATTAAAATATAGGGGTATAGGTGGCCTAGTATATTCCCTTTCCCAGCATCCCCACTAGATGGGGATACGAACTCGGTTGGTCTTTTATTTAGGCAGAACCTATCCCCTAACAAAAAAATTTAATCCTACAGCCCCTCGAATATATCCATGGGGAAAGCTTTCGCCTTTAATTATCCATCAGCGATACCAAATATACAAACCTGATGTCTCAGAAGTGGGACTGCCAAGAGACCATCAGGGGGACTTGTTTCAGATCTGGGCTGAGAAAGATCCTGTTATGATATGATAACACACTGCAGTTAGACCAACTAAAATCTGGAATCCTGGATCAGCAACAAGATTAAAGGCCCATACGAACACTAATTTAATAGCAAAATGTAGGTCTTGGAAGCAACCATAGAAGAAGAATAATAAATGTCAGAGGATAAAGTTTATCTACATTTGTTGTAATCATATAAATACAATCTCATATGACACCACATAGATACTAGCAACAACAGAACATGTTCAGCAACCACTTACCCCTTTTTCAGCCAAAACAGTATTCTTCAACTTTAATACTTGATGCATAGACACTGAAACATACATTCTAACTAAAGGAAATACACATCCACAAAACAATTATTTATCTGCCAAATTCAGAGCGAGGAGGGGAGGAGAGTCAAGAGGGTGGGCTGGGTGGAGAGGGAGCAACATAAGGAGAACAAACATAGGTATGTACAGAGCAATTAGGCAGAAAGCTTAACACCATTCACACCACTAACCTGCAATGCAGCTTGAAAAATCAGTTGTTCCTTGTTTGGTTGAAGCTTCAAGTCTCTAGAATGATTCAGTGTTTGACTAACCACAGAATTTTGTGAAGAAAAAACTGGCTTTTGCATAACGTGGGATTGGCGAGGCAGAACAGGTAGACTGTTAGTTTCTATTATACATACATCAGAGTCATCATCGGAGAAATATTCATACTGTGACGAAGCACTTTGAAATGATTCAGGACTGACTTTCAAATGATCAGCATCCATGCTCCTAGGTCGGATATGTTCATTGTCTCCTATCCAGAAGTGTTCAGAACTTTGTGTTCCCGAGTCAAGATCTGCTTCATATTGTAGAGAGGTATTTGAATCAAAAAATATACTAGAGCTTCTGTTTCCAATATCATTACTATGTGAAGCGGTCTTGGATGGCATAATTGTATATTCCTTCTTAGCATCTTCCTGAAAGGAACAATTAGGGACACTGGACCAAAACTGTCTGGCTTCTCCGCCTGTAGATCCTTCATGACGCACAAGATCCTTCCCCGGGATTGAACTGTAGATCACGTTCTCTGACTCGGTCAAATTACAAACAGGTTTATCTGTCATATGGACAACTTTATTCATCTGATTACCACTTGAAGCATTGTAAGTAATAGGCTGTCTCAGTTCCATTTCTGCTAAATGCCCGTCAAAACTATTATATGATTTAGCACATGAAGGAGAAATTAAGGGATTGCCTTCAAACTTGAAACTGTGTTCTCTTGCGCTAAATAAATCGAGAACTGGTTCTCTATCATAAGATCCACCATCTAGTCTCCCATGCCGATCAAAAACAATCCGGGTATCAGACTGAGACTCACTTGCTATATTCCTCATGTCATTTGTAGCCTCTTCTTTATAGGGGAAAAACCGAAATGCTGAATTATGGGAGAAACTGTGAGAAGCTCCAGACAAGGATGCACCAGTTGTATTGTAGCAATATTTTGCAGAAGGGGCGCTGTTACTGGCACCATGACTGAGAGAGTTCGAACTATGACAGAGAGCAGACATATTGAAGGAATTCTGTGTGGTTCCTATCCCAAATCCATCTTCAGACACGCCATTTAGATATGGAGTCGTGGGCCTACAAGATGTAACTGCAAAACAATATAAAATTCATAAGAAGAACTCGCAGGATTTAACATCAGATTAATGAAGACTGTGAAGTTTTCCGAAAGTAATGGAGCAAAAAATTTAGCATAGGAAGCATATACATTTAAGATCAAGTATCTCGTCATCACGCTTTGGCCCAGTGTCAACACTACAATTCAAAGGACTAAAGATCATATTGCCACCGTGACCAGAGAAACCAGCATCATATCTCTCAACAGGACCAGATGATATACTACAACCTTGCATATCGGAATGAGACACCCCAGATGTTTCCGTAAACTGCCCCCCCTGGCTCAATGAAAACCAATCTTTAAGACTTGCGGAACAAGTCTGAGCTGGTGAAGAACCCTGTCCCGATTCCACTTTCACATGATCATCGAATGAACAACTGGGCACCCCTGACCCAGCAAGCAATGCTTTGGAGCTATACGAATCCCGAGAATGAGACCAACAAGTCTCCTGAGATCCTCCTAGTCAAGAAATACATAATAAAAAAAGCAATTGCCAAGTGAAGTGACATTAATTTTCTTGACTAATCACGATGCATTCTCTGACAGATCAAGAAGTACACCAACCTAAATAGGTCTGAGACAAGACAAAGCAAAAGGAATCCAATAAAGAGCCATGTCTTCAGCATCTACTAACCATTTAGTAAGTGTGAAGTTTCGAGCTCGCCAGATTCTGTAGACGAACCAACTCGGGATAAATTTTCTTGACTACCCTAAAAGTTTTAACCAGAGCACCAGAGGTTAGTATTGGGTGAATCATACGTCCATTCCAAATATACACTAAAAGAACAACTCCAAGATCAATACCATCATTCACCGACATTAATTTCAGTGCAACAAAACAATGGATTTCATTCATGATTCTCGGAAGAATAGGGTGAAAGTAATGGACCAAATTCTCCAAAAAAAAATGATTAACGAGAACTAAGATAGAGACCCATGTAATCAAAATTCTCCAACTACTTGCTTCTGTATCACAAAACAAGACGCCAGTACCTCCGCAGAATCGGGCTTCTCATCAAGAATACGATAGATCGTGTCGAAATCAATAGCGAGATCATCGTCGTAGTCAAATTCGAAGACGCTAGGACAATCGTCCGCCGGAAACCCAGCGGACGGCAAAAACCCGTGACCACCGTCACCCATCACGCAAAACCCTTCACCAGACCAAAACCCTAGCTAGCGAGATCCAGAACGAGAATCCAAAAAAGCAACAAGGAGATCGAAACCAAATCCAAAGAAACGAGAGCGTGGATCCGACAGATCCGGAAGCGGGTATGTGAAGAATTGGCCAGAGAGAGAGAGAAGAGGAAGACGAAGGATTGAAGAATTTGATAGGAGGGTGAAGAATTTTCAAGGAAAGTTCGAGGAAGTTTGGTTGAAATACGCGACTTTTTCTTCGCGTCGTTAGGTTTTTGTTTCCTCCGAATTGAAAAAGGCAATGGGAAGAGACGTACAATTGGATTTAAATAAGGAACGGTCGGGGTTACGGTCTTTGATTTTTCATTGGACATTTCCATTAAATTATCAAAATAAAAAATGCGCCGTCATACTGATTCGTCTGACAAAAAAAAACTATATGATAAAAATAATAATAATATATTTTTTAACGAACAGAAAATGTCCTGAAAACATGGTCAGACTTTTTTTAGTATTAACATTAATATTATGTTATTATAACATGAAATTGGTACCGACCGCGTGGAACATACACACTTCATTCTTTGAAAAATCGTAAATTAATACACAAAATTATAATATATATATATACTAAACAGATAAATAAATAAACTATATTTTTTTAACATACATTAATTCTTCTAAACTTTTAACACATGGATTTTTAAATAGTTTTCAAACATCACAATATTATATTGGTTTTAGGGAAATACAATATATAAAAATAGAATAAACTATAATTTTTTTTAAATGCATTAATTCTTCTAAACTTTTGCGACCTGAATTTTCAACTAATTTTCAAAGATTTACATTTAATTTATGTTTTTTAAAATCGTTTAAAATTTTATTATTTTTAAAAAGCTTAAGATTTAATACAATAGTGAGAAAGAGGTCCTATATTTATGTGAAATTTTTTATAAAAAAAACTGTATATTTATCTGAAATTTTTAAAACTTATTCCATAAGATTAAAAAACGAAAAAATCCTACAAATTTCCTAAATTTATAAACTATTAGCAATTTTGTACATATCATTCAATGATTCTGGACGATACTTGACTTTGTTTTTACACGATTTGTTTTAAAAATCTAAAAATACTTCACAAAATTTAGAAAATCACAATTTTTTTCTATCTTGAAACAATTGTTTCAAGTTTTTTTAATATGTAAAACTATCATGGGACTTGGCCCAAATGAGGCCCATTAATGATTTCTAAACAATTTGACCGGTTCGATCTCGGACCCGGTTTTAGGATCCGAACCCGGGAGGAAGAAAATGTGCATAAATTATATGAAACGAGGGAGGAGAAGATTTTGCAGTCAATCTAGAAGCGGGGGATTCAGAATCCACAGCAAAATTGCAGAACAATTTCGCAGAAAGCTTCCTCTATTTTTTTAATTCTCCAGGTACTTTTTCTGGAAAATTCTAAGAGAAATTTCTTGGAAAGTGTTGTTGGGCATTCGCTGTTCGTACTCATTTAGGCAAATTCCCTAGATTTTGGGTTATTCCGTTTGATCGGGATTTGGGAAAAAATTCTGGTTTTTGATAGGAATTCAGGAGTAGGTTTCCATGAAAAATCCGCTCTTTTCGTTCATGGATAGGTAGTGTTTGTACCGGTGATTGATTCAAGATGGGAGCAACACTAATGGGCTAATGTCAATGTTCTGAGTTATTATTCGTCATCAACTTGCAGAAACCGAATCAGCGATGGTAATCGATTTCGTTCATCTCTCGTGTTCTTCGTATCGGCATGTTTATGAGAATTTGACTCTACTTGTATTGGTATATTCAAAGTCGTGATCTTGACCCGTCTCGCCCACAGGCTACGTCCAAGAAAGTGATTACGAGGGTAGAGTGGGAGAAGAAGCTAAATGGGATCATAATTAGGAAAGAAGACATGGATAGACTGGTGATGAATTTTCTTGTGACAGAAGGCCATGTAGATGCTGCCGAGAAATTCCAAATGGAGTCTGGAACTAAGCGTATCCTTTCCCCGGTTCAGGTTTAATCCCGGGTGGAGTCTTATTGTTTTTCGTGTTTGTTAGTGTAGCCCTGTTTTCTTCCTTATCGGGAAACAGCAGAAACAGATATTGCAACTATCACGGATCGAATGGCCGTTAAAAAGGCAGTCCAATCCGGAAATGTCGAGGATGCCATTGAAAAGGTCAATGATTTAAATCCTGAGGTACGAAGCTTCTTCTTCAAGAACCGTTCAAACTTTGATGTGTATTCATTGCAATGCAAAACATATCTGGTCCGAGTTTTCTCATCGTTAGAGAAACCGTCTTTTTTTGTTGTTGCAGATATTGGACACAAATCCCGAATTGTTTTTCCATCTTCAACAACAAAGGTTGATAGAACTAATCCGACAAGGGAGGATAGAAGAGGCCTTGGAGTTTGCTCAGGAAGAGCTTGCACCTCGTGGAGAAGAAAACGTTCTGTTCTCTCTTTATCCAACTTTTCGATTCATTTTCATTGATATTTCATCTGGTTCTGTTGTTTTTTACGACATCATATTTACTCGCTGATTGCATCTTAAAAGGTTTCGTTTAAACTCTTCTTTTAAATGATGAGATATATTCTGTATAATGTTTGATGAATGTATCTTACTGTGCAGCAAGCATTTCTTGAAGAGTTGGAGAGAACTATTGCCCTTCTTGTTTTTGAAGACGCCTCTACCTGCCCGGTCAAAGAGCTTCTCGACGTTTCACAGCGTCTTAAAACTGCAAGCGAAGTGAATGCAGCCATTCTCACTAGCCAGAGTCATGAGAAAGGTATGTTAAATTTCAGACATTTTACACTCTATTGTGTTTTGCTTGCCATAAGTTTTTATTATATCGAGCACTCCTCGTTTCAATGAGGCAATACAATTATACAATACGCTTGTCTGAACGTGTTCTTCGGGATATTTTGGACATCATTCAGCTTATTAGACATGTGTATCATCCTAATTTCTTATCGAGATCTTCTTCTTCAACAGATCCAAAACTTCCAAGCTTGGTGAAGATGCTGATATGGGCAGAAAAACTATTGGATGAAAAAGCACTGTATCCACACATAAAAAACTTGTCCACTGGTCAACTCCAAGGCCCGCCTGTTTGATTTCACACTTCAGAAGGGAACACTCAAAATATCTCTTTAGGGTCAGAACATTTATTGGATTGCTTTCCCCATTCTTTCTTCTGCATCTGAATTTGTGGGAACCATCATTGTTTAGGGTATAGGAGATGAGATGGGGGGGCATAAGCTGTTGTAGAACAATGAATAACTCTTGAGATATTCTGATTTTCAACACATTTGCATTGACAATATCCATTGTTTCTTCCAAGTGACTTGAAAAAACATGAAATGACGAGTGTTTGGACCTGCAGTGTGAAAACTGACAGGCATTGCTGATTTGGGTTGATAAAGAAATGAGCTTGAGTATCAGAAATTCTGCAAATGAGAGAGGTGGGAAACTATGCAAAGGAGTTATATGCATACAATACAGTAATGCCAAACTCCAACAAAAGATTGATAATGCAAATCAAGATTCAACAAAGACAACATAGTAGAACTCCAAGTGATGTTCTTGTCGTCGCCGGAGAATCTCCGGAGGAATTTGCTCCTCCTCCTCCGCCGCCGCCCATCACCGCTTTTCCGGTACGTATTCACAGCTTCAAATCTCTCACCCAATCTCATACTCAAAAACCCTTCTCGATATGAACTGTCAGAGCAAAGGGGTCTCTGAGACAAACGTGTTTTGAATAAAAAAGACAATGGGATGAAGACAAAGTGAGCAGCTTTCTTGAGACCCTCGTGATGGATTTACGTGGGGATGCTAAAGTTGTTCACTTTCTGGTACGATTCACGAGAAAAGTCTTGTGGAGGAGGAAGAGGAAGAAGAAGAAGAAGAAGAAGAAGGGAGAGAGAGCTGAAAGCTTTGGGCAGAGAGCCTAAAACGTCACTTTCAGTTTCTCTGTTATTTTTCCGACTGTTTGTTCATAAGGAATCGTCATTCCTTTCTCTCTTATCTTCCATTTTGTCCCTTTGGCAAAATTTCCCCTCTTAAATAATAAATAATAAATAAAATCAAAGTTTTACATAATTAACAAAAACAAAAATCTGATCGTTTCACAGATTCAAAATGATGTTGTTCCTTTAAGCTAATTTAAACCTTTTCTTCATCAAGAAAATTTAAAATTTGGAATGTTTTATGGAAGGCATAGTTTTTCAAATATTTCATTTTTTTTGGGAAAATCGGAATAAAAAAAATCTAATCAAGGTTAGATCTTATTCTCATGTAAACTTGAAAAAAACCACTTTTGTGTAAATTATAACAAAAAGAAAAGACCATTGAAATTTTAAGAAAAAATATTAAATTTCAATATATTTTTTTTGTAGGGGTGGCCATTTCGAAAATCGGTTTCGGGATAAAAATGTATTGGTTCAGTTTTTCAGCTTTACAAAAATAGGTACGAATCAGTTTTTATATTATGTTAAGTTCAGTTTCGATTCCACTTCGGTTCGATTCCGGTTTTTATTAAAAAAAGATATATTTTCTTTAAAAAAATTCAGTTTTTCGGTATTTTTTAAAATTCTATTCGATTCGATTAGATTCCAAAAAATTAAATTTTCTAAAAATAATATCATTTGAAAATTTAAAACGATTCGAATCGAAAAAAAAATATTATATTTTTCGATTCGGTTCTTTTCATCGAAAACCAAACCGAAACATTCATCCCTACTTTTTATATAAAAACCTAGTTACCTAGAAAGATCTTGAGATTTTCTCTTCTTTAGAAAAAGTTTTCCTTCCTTGTTTTCTTTCTGTTATCTTGGCGCAAATTTTGATTTTCTGATTATTTTGTTGTAATTAGTTTTTTTATTAGCTTCTAATTTAAATGACTAACTATCATATATATACATTAAATGGATAATAAAAATAAACAGACTTTACTATGTTATTTTCGCTTTGATGCTGTAAATAATTTTACATTATTCACATAATTAAATAGTTTTCATAAATATTTACATAATTTATATTATGCACATCGGAATGGTAACCAGTGGGGGTCCACAGATGCTTTAACATAGTATATTTTTAGAAAATCGAAATCTGTAAACGAAATACTGGTGGATAAAAAATCATTTTTTAATAATTTTTTAAAGAAAAGTCGTGATTTGTGTCCCAAAGTTGCAGTTTATTTAATTCATGTAAACCCCCAAAGCTTTTTCGTTATCGCACCTTAGCCCCACATGCTCTCCCTCTCCTTTTTCTTCTGACAATCTCTCTGCTTCGCCATGGCCATGAGAGCACAAACCATATGAAAAAGAACCCACTTTAGCAACAACACTAACAAGAAAAACCCTAGAAAAAAGGTTCACGACATGAGAGAGCTTAAAATATTCACCGTCTCCGGAGTTGGTGGTCGGAATCCATGGCCGCCTGTGGGAGCTCCGGTGGATATCCGGCGAGAGGAACCGCCGTGGAGATCCAACTCCTCCGACGAAGACTCTGTCAATGCGGTGTCGTTTGGCTTCGTCGCCACCGCCATTCTCATCTCCATGTTCCTCGTCATGGCGATTTTCGAGAGATTGATTCGACCAACCACTTCTCAGGACTCTCCAGGTCGAGTCCGGTCGGGTCTGGATTCTCGGGTGGGGTTCAATGGTGCTAAGCTTGGTTTCCAATCTCCCAAGGCAAGTTTTTTTGTCCTTACCAAAAGAGAGAGAGAGAGAGAATACTTCCAAAGTTGCTTCCTTTCAGTTTATGTCCATTGCATGCGTATGAATTCGTCGTGGGTTTTGACCCATTTCCCAAATCCTTTTGAAACTATGGAGATTTATGGTTTACAACTTCAATTGTGGGTTAGAAAGAACACAAATATGGTGTTTTGGGTATGATTCACTTTAAGAACACTAAGACCTGTCTTGTATCCGTCTTCCATTTACTCCATTTATGTTTTCTTGCTAAATTTGGAATTCGAATTCCGAGTTTCTGACCTTAAAGCCTTGATCTTGAGTTTGAAAATGCTTATATGCTACCGATTCCGAAAGCTTCGATCTTTTTCTTTGTTCCTTGAGAATTTCCGTAAATGTTATACTTTTCGTGTTGTAGGAGAACCATGAGTGGCCATTGGTGTGATCCATGTAGTTCTTTTGTTGATCATTATGGTCCCATAAGCAAATACAGGAACATGAAAGAACTTGGTTCTGTATTTTTGGTATCATAGACCCACCATTGCACATGCTTTTTTCATAGCCACACACACGGATATTTTTGCAATATATTCGCCTCATATACACACACTTGAGTATGATTTTCCTAGATATCAGCGATGATGCAATTCATCCATGTCTTGCTTTTTTCACCAGTTCTTTTCCATAATGACAATGCAAGAGAAAATATGCAATGAAGGTTTTTTTTGCCATTGATTCGTTTGGAAGTATTATGAGTGACAAAAGTGAGTCTATGCGTGTGGAAATGAGAATTTGGTCTACCATGTGACAGACATTTTCGAGGAGCACAAATGGCCCACACCCCTTTTCCCCGAAGCTAATGAGAGGGGTTTATTCTCTCATACCTTTTCCTTGGGGGCATAGCCTATGGTTATGGAGATTGGAGAGTTGTTTTCTCTCATGCCCTTTTTTCAATAAATTCATTAGCTTTCTCTCAAGAATAGCTTGACTGGTTGAGAGATTGATATATAATAAAGACACCATAACCAGATGTAGAATCTAGTTCTTGTTTTCGGATTCATTGTCTGCAAACTGAGATGTGCCTCTTGGTGCATTAGCTCACTTTTCTTAATCATGCAAGTCTTGAGTATCGACGATAGATCGTGTTATTTTGTTTTTTTGGTGTTAAGGATAGTTGTTTTGGTGGAGACTGGTTGGCATTTTACACATAGAACCATCCATGTGATCAAACAAAGCCATTAGACATGAGGACCCATTTCGGAATCTAGTCTCGTTCATCTCAGACAGCGTGTTTTGTCTTTGTGTTAGCCGAGTTTCTGTGGAGGGGAAACATGACATTTCATTGGTCTGAAATGAAACGTTAATTCTGTTATTTGTCTGTTCGATGATTCTCCTTGATAAGGTTAGCTCCATAACAAGCCAAATCACATTTTCACTGGAGAAAGCTCTTTGAAATTGAATGGTTGGAGCTTCGGCCCCAATTATGCATACTTGACATGTTCTAGTGTACATCATTCTCTGCTACATGTCTAGATTCTTGAAATGTTTTCAAGAATGAAAACCCGGTTACATATGGTTTTTGCGTCAATCAGTATTATATAATATAACACCAAGAGAATGTTTTTGTATCGATTTGCAGATAGATGTGTACTCGAAAGGGGTTTCGGTGTTGATGCCAGGAGACGCAATCCCGACGTTTATAGCACATCCAGTGCCTTGCCCTCCTCCTCATCAGCATAGTTCATCCAGAGATTCTTCTACGAGCTCCAATTCAAACTCCATCCAAGAATGCTGAAACTCCGAGCTGTTTTTTTTTTTTTTTTGGTTTGTTCCTCGAGCCAACGAGAATGAGTTGAGTTTGGCAATGGATGAATCCTATCCTTCCATGGCGGTTTTTTCTTCCGGATCTTTCTCTCCGTTGCTCGGGACAGGAAAAGTAAGTCGGGGGGAGATTATGTTGGAGTGTTTTGTGTATATAGAGAATTAGGGTTGGTAACTGCCCTGTCTTTAAGCATACAGCTTTAAGTTTTTGAGGTTCTCTGTCCATTTCTTGTTGTAAGTGATGAGTTACAGAGAACCGTGTTCTGTTTCTTCTTTTGGCTCTTCATTATATTGGGTTTGCAGTGAATCAATTGGATGAACAGACAAGACATTTCGGTTTATTCAAACCGAATTGAATCTAATTCGGTTATAATTCAATTTGAACACCGGTTTAATCCGGTTTAACATTAAATGGACCTACAAAACAATTGAAAACCCGAGCGAAAGCAAATTCAGACCACCACGTTATTCGGCCTCTTTCAAAGCCCATTGTGCATATGACGAATATAAGCCCAAACCCAAAACTAAAGAAACACGAACAAAACTAGATATATATAATAATATATCACATTAAATGGACCAACATTGCTCTAAATTTAAATATTTTCTCAAGGATATTTATTGTGTCCCGTATTTTTTTTACGAAATTTATTGCGTCCGTATTATTAGCTCCGTTGCGATAGAAGATCGTACATTCGTACTTTTTTACCTTGCATGTTTCAATATTCTTACACATAATCGTATATAATAATGCAATAGATTTTTTTTTCTCATCTTCTATATTATCGTTTTTTTTGCTAAAATCTATATTATCGTTTTGTGTAACTATAATGTTTTAAATTTATGACACTTAATAAATTTTGTGTTTTTTTATTGATTGTTTTCAGATAAGATATGAAATTTTGGTGTGGATAGAGATGAGAAGTAATAATATGCCATATTTATAAAAACAAATCATATGATTAAGCACAGAGGTTAGTTCCCGTATTATTGGTGTTATGAATAGATCTAGGAGTTGGATTCGTCGTCTTAGATTATTGTTAATTATTTATTAACTTAGCTTAAATAATCTCCGCCCCACGTTGCTAATCCGGTTTTCCATAATTCATGGTTATTCTCAGGGGATTAAACAGTAAATGTGTTTTCTTTGGATCTGTAAATATAACCATATAAATTTTAAAAGTAAATATTTTTTTACTTTTGGTTTTGGTGTAAATTAATAAATTTTACAATGGTAACAAAAAAAAAACACAGTATTAAAAGCCAATGGAGTAGTTGATATCAACTGTCGGAAACATTGACCATAAATACATAGTCTCATCTTCACTCATCTTTCGCTGGCATCAACACTCACTCTCTCTCTCTTTCCCCTTCGAACGACGTCGTTCTCATGGGTTGCTGCGTCAGCTCCACCTCCGCCACCGCCGACAAGAACTCCGGCGACCCCTCCCCCGCCTCTGACAACAACAGACCACCATCGCCACGACCGCGAACTCCGGCCATTGTCGAGGAAGAGACAGTCAAAGAAGTATTGTCGGAAACCACGCTGCTCACTTCCTCAAACGACGAACCAGTGGTCGAGGACGAGACCCAGAAGCCGATCATGGAGAAGATCCAAGAATACGGGGATAAACCCGGAATTTATAAGCCGGGTCGAGGTCATGAACCCACCCGACCCGATTCCGTCGACCCGGTTGAAGATGGGTCCGAGCTCTCGGAGATTTGCAGCTTGAGCGTGAGCGAGAGCGTGTCTTCCACCGTCGTGAATCCGTACGACGACGGCGACGAAGAAGTGAAGCAGAGGAAATTTCAGGGCACGAGGCAGAGATCTCCGGCGAAACCTCGAACCCAGGTCACGAACCGGAGATCCGAGCAATCTCCGGCGAAGAGAAGCGTCGGAGGGTCTGGGTCGGTGAGGCTGGTTCATCCGAGTCCGGGCCGGAGATCCGGACCGGGTATGGCGGATCCGGCGGATAGATCCGGGAGGAGATCCAGATCGCCGGCGACGAACAGGTCAGTGATGAGTCCGGTTACTGGTCGTGGAGCGAGGAGAAAGAACAATGAGTCACCGGGTCGGGTCAGGTCGGACCCGGGTAAGAGCGAGTCACCGGGTCTGGTCAGGTTGGACCCGGGTAAGAGCGAGTCGGAGCAGCTGAGTCAGTGGCCGAGTAGCGGTGCGGCGGCTGGAAATTACAATTGTGCCCCTCGGGAGTCGCTGGAGAACCCTCTGGTCTCATTGGAATGTTTCATCTTTCTCTGAAGTTTTTTTTCCCGGCGATAATTATAATGTCGCCCCTTTTGTAATATTAATATTATTTTTGTTATTTAGTTATAACATGTGAATTATTTATATCAATTATTAAAATTATCACTTTTTAAAAAATATATATATATACAGATATAATCCGAAAATGATGAAACTCCAACTTGCAAGTAAAGCATTAAATTTTGTTTGCACCAAACTTTGATGGATTGCAAACTCACCTTGCAAGTAAACTTTGTGTGTATATATATATACATAGAGATTATTTGTCAATATGGAAGAGTTTAAACGATGAAATGGAATGGACCCAACTATTAAAAATATTATTTAATGAATATATAATAAAATATACACAAAGCATAAGATTCGAGACGAGTGGACCTGTCCGATTTTATATTTCTCATGGGGTGTTGTTTGGAATAGGGCAAAAGATTTGCTTTTTTTCCTGCAAATCAATTATATTTTCTGACAAATAATAAAATCACTGGAGTCAGGCAAGACAAGAAATAACACAAACACCACGTAAATAATAAATTATTATGTAAAAATAATAAATTCTATTTATTTGGATGTAAAAAATCATAAAGTATAAAAAAAGTTAATTATTATGGAAATATATATATATATATATAGACTATTTTATACTTTACATGTACTATAATATGTGATACTCGTGAATGTACTGTATTGTCATGATATAAAAACTTTTAATTTTTTTAGTAAATTCATATTTTTACACTTTATTCACTCAAAGCTCATACTTTTCCTGCAGGGTAAAAAAGTTAAATATTTTTATGTGCTTGTAAAATTAGGGTCTTTACTCTTTATACAATTTTATATATTTCAAAGGTTCATCTTTTAGAAAGCAGAGAAAAGAGTTTCACTTTTGACTCTGTTTGTCCGTTCTTTTGTGCCCTACATTTGCACCCTTGAGCAAAATATATTTTTATTTATTTTTAATTATACACAGATATATATTAATTAATCCCCAAAAAAGTTTCGATCTCGCTATTCATATATATATATATATATATTGATTTTGTCATGTTTAATAAAATTTCAAATTATATTATTTTCCGTAGCTAGAAACTGAAATCATGGTGTTATATCTTTTATTCCATAATTATTTTTATTATCTTTGGAAATCCAGTTAATTTTGTCTCTGAAATAGTTTTTCGGCCGTACTTTAATTTATCTTAATTATAAACCAGTAATTTATAATTACCCACTGGAATTTTGTCTATAAATTCGTTTTAGACAGGACTACAAGTTTTTTTTTTTTATACATCCATCGTATTTTATCCAAAATGATGTAAATTTGATGGGGAGATTCAAATTTGGGTTTGGATAGGTATAGTCGTTATTTCGATTGGAATATATAGGAATAAACCGAATAATATAAAAAATATATATAAAATAGGAGAGTATATAAAAACTAAATAATTATGAATTTATTAGAATCAAATCAATCCAATCTTGATAAAAGTATAAAATAATTCATGTAATAATAGATTAAAAAATTCAGAAAATAAATATTCTTAACAAAAATAACCGATCCAATTTCAAAGAAAATTATTTTAAAAAATCTAAATCAAATTCAGAACAAAAATCAAACCAATGTAGCCGTTATTGCTGAGAAAAATGTTGGGTGTGCAAAATATTTGAAATAAGAACACATTGGATTGGAAAGTGAGTGATCAACATTGGATCCTTTTTATCTAATTGCAGACTAGAGGGCCGTTGGTTTCCCCTTTTCATTTTCATATGTTAAGTCATGAAATCACGTGAATATATTTGGCTACAAATGAAACGAATTCAGATAGATGTAAATGTTCGTTAACTATATCGGGAATTAATATATATATATATGCATGTGTATATATATATATATATCCTCATAATATGTAAAATAAAATGATATATCATCAACCCAAATGGGATGGTATAGTGGTAAAGATAATATAAAGTGCTTCTCACCACCAACGTTTCAAATCCAATTGGACCAAATATTATAATATATCATGAAATTCTTAAAAAATAAAGAATACAATTATCATAATGGGCTGAAACCTGACACAATTAATTGGGCCGGGTCCAACGGCCCATCAGATTCACACACCAAACCTCAGTGATTAAGGATCGTGACCGAATGATGATTGCGGCCGAAACAAACATCTCTCACTTTTGTTTCCCCTAATGGAAGAAACAATTTAGATTAACCATCATTAGCTTACTATTTTTAAATATTTTAATATAATAATAACCGATATTTGCTAAAATAATATAACTATCGAACCTTACACATACCCTAAACACCATCAAAAAATAAAATTATTGGGCATAATTATAAATATGAGATAAACACAGTTTACCAACCTGTCGAATAAAAAAAACCATACACAATACCGACGGCACAACTACACAACATTAGAAACATATTCTTGAATCTCTACGAGAAGAAATTTCACCACGTCTCAAACAGTTTTTACTTGATATAAATAAATCGCGCTTCCATCGATTCTGAAATTACATAACTACCCTTCGGGACAAAATCTGTGTTTCCCAGGTGGACCAATGATAATGCCTTTTGACTCCTTTGGGACCCACTTCTCAACATCACTACGTCTCTTGGCCCTCGAAACGATTGAACATATATATATATATATATGTATATATTTATACACACACACACATATAAGAAATTTATGAAAAACTAATTTGTTATATAGTATTGCGACTGTATTTATAACGATGATTTGCAAAATTATCGGCAATCGACGCAAAGTATTATAGTTTTGTGCGTTTGTCTTTTTACATGCAAACGTACATATGAATTAATTGGGGCGTATAATTGCGGCGTATATTGGGTATTGAGTATGCAATTTATTTATCGAATACTTTTCCTCTTTATTTACTTAGTCCAAAATTTCTCCACTGAATTGTAGGATCAAAGTGGAAATCGGTTAAATTGACATTTTAGAAAAGAAGATATTGTTTTTATGAAAACTCAGTTCGAATAGCAATTTTTAAAAATAATAGATATAAATTTTTTTTTATAAAATTGGAAAATCTGAACTAAAAATAATTGAATGGAAGAAAACTATAATAGAATCCGTAAATACTTTATTTATAAGTTATCTAATGCGAGGAAAAATAACACACAACAATTCCCATTCGGTGGGGAGCCTAAAGGTCTAGAGACCTAACTATAGTATTCTAATGGTTGCCCCCAAAAATAATTAAAATTACTATTATAAATCCATTATCGTTTGATTCATATTTTATGATGTGATCATAAATTATTCGAATATGTTTACTTTTATTATAAAATATTTACTTGTGAAATTATAAATGTCTAATAAAAAAATACATCAAAGCTTGAAAAAAAAAATGTCCAAAAAAATTGAACTACAAATTTAGGATGATAGATTCGATACCATTCTTTAACTCAAACATCATTAATGCTTCTTTCTTTCTTTATTATTTTCGGTGAGACATATATTCTCTTTGTTTTCAATCATATTTTTTTTCTTCATATTATTTGTCAAAAGAGAAAATAAAATAATTGTATCATTCTAAATTTTATCGAAGAATTCATATTTTTAAATGATAGATATAATTTTGTTTCAATAAGAATATCACATTGGATACATACATATATATATATGTATATATATTCTGATTATTTGCCTGTATATTTTTAAATTTTTATTAGAAAACATAAATATAAATATAAATAATATAATTTTGAGCAAGAATATCACACTTTTATTTATTTTCTTTCTTCCTTAACTGTTTCGGAAATTTCCGAATCTGATTTTGTTTTTGAGATATTGATGAGATAATTTTTTCTTGTGATATTGCCGTCTTTAATAATTTTTTAACTTTTTTCCAATATTTTTTTCTCAGATACAATACAATCAGGCTTTATTTAACAAAGTTTCATTTTTTTAATATTAAGATATTGCTTATATATTAAATATTTTTTTTTTCAAATTGAATGTTAATTACACTAATCACACAACATATTCGCCACGTAATCACATGTTCCTACTTTTTAATATATAATTTTCCATCATTACAAATTCCTAGTATAGTTTTATTATTTAGCTAAATAAAATATGCGATAATATTTCCTCTGGATATATTTCAAGAAAGTAATCTCAATTTTTAAAAACAACAATAATAATTCAGGTAGTTCTTAAACATTTTGGCTGCCCGATCACAGAAGAAACCCTAAAAAAATAATTGCAGAGAAAATAGAGTTGGATGAGAGAATAGCGACAAAGAGACGAAATTTAAAGGAAAAGAAAAAAGTCTTTGTTGAATTGAATCTGTATTTCACTTTCACATACATACGTTGAAGAACACAAAGCCGTTGGCTCTATAGTCCGCTCTTTCTTCGAGGCTACATATCACTCTTTGAACTTCACCCTCTCTCTCTCCCCTAAAAATCCGACGAAATTCAATCTCTCTCTGATTCACTTTCCCTTTTCTCTGACAATCACCACAATCATCGTTCCTTGTTCCACTCAATCTCTCACCTTCTGGGTTCTCTTTCGTTTTTTTTTTTCTGGGTTTTTTCTTCTGAGGCTGTTTCTTACTTTCCTCAAAATCACTGGTTCTAAAAAGTTTCCTGGGAGGGAAACTACGATTAGGGCAGAACGGAAGAAGCTTGTCCGTTTGAGACGGGTTTTGTTTCGTTTATTCTTCAGATGTTCAAAGTCATGAGCTTTACCAGGTGGGGAGTGTTCGTTGTTTTCTGTGTTTTGGCTTCAACAGTGCCGTTTTCTGCCGGAATCACTAATCTTCGAGATGGTATGTTTCTTCCCCGTTTTGTCTTTTTTTTTTTTTCCTTTGGGTTTGCTTTTTTTCTGCCTAGTTTGGTTCCGGAGGACAGTGAACAGAGTGGAACTTTAGTTCTGGAAAGTTCATGACTTTCTTCAGCTGCATTCTGCAATTATATGAGTAAGGTTTCTTGGAATCATGGAAAAAAAAACCTTGTAGATGTGTTTTTTTTTTTTCCTTTTACAGCTTAAACTGAAAATTAAGTTCCTTTAGTGCTTACGCCGCTGGTTATGTCGTTTTTGAAACAAGAGTCTTGTCTTGTACCCTAATCCATGGAGCCAGGTTCTGATCTTTTGGATGTAACAGAGATTCAAACTCTCTCTTAGGTTTCTGATTTTACACGCTCTTGCTGGGTTTAATAAGTTCAGAGACCCAGTTTTTTTTAGCGTTAGAATTCTGATTGAGTTCTGAGACTTGATCTGTGCTTGTTTGGGGCTACATTCCCACTCATGTTCTGTCTTTTTTTTAAGCTTTTATAAGCTGTGAAAATTTTGGAAGATGATGCTTATATTATCACTGTTCTTGAATTGTTGAATTCCGCAGTTTCTGCAATCAACAACTTGTATATCACTTTGGGGTCTCCACCTCTATCTGGCTGGCTTGATTTTGGAGGTGACCCTTGTGGAGAAGGATGGCAAGGCGTGATCTGTGACTCTGCAAACATAACGGAAATGTATCTTCTGCTCTGTTCTGTCTGATTCTTCTTGTTATTTATCCGCTTTAGACTAATGCAATGTGCTTAATTTGTCCATTGGCTGTTTGTGTCTCAACAGAAGGATCAGTGGCTTGAATGTTGGTGGAAGCTTAAGTGACACTTTGTCTGAATTCACATCAATCCAAGTGATGTAAGAAATAATAACCCTTTTAGCTTCTTGCTGCCTCTCTCGAGGCTTCTAGACCGAGTAAAAGATTCATATTGTTTACAAATGCTTCTTTGATCTGTGGTTTTCGGGTTAAGGGTACGAATATTTCGTTATTGGGTTGGGTGAAAAACCAATTATCAATCTTAGTGATACCAGGTATTGTCTTATTGAGCAGGGATTTCAGTAGCAATCGTATTGGAGGGAGCATTCCACGGAATTTGCCGTATACCATCAGGAACCTGTCTGTTCTCAATTCTACTTTTGTGGTCGACAGTTGAAAATAGATATAGATCTCTACTTTTTGTTGTTTAACGTTAGAAGATAATTCAGTTTCATGTCCTGTCTTGTGTTCAGATCTCTCTCAGGCAATCAGTTTACCGGGAGCATTCCCTTCACTATATCCTATTTGTCTCAGTTGTCTGACCTGTAAGTCCCGACCTGTCTTAGCTTATTCTTACTAGGTTTGGTTCTGTTCTGTTCCATAACTTCAATTAAGGATGCTTGTTCTTAGTTTAGATTCTTGTCTCTTCCCTTCAGGTCTTTAGGCAACAATCTTCTAACGGGAAGCATACCCGATATCTTTCAGCAGTTGTCAGAACTGACAAAACTGTACTATGTTCTTTCGTTTTCTAAATTCTCCTTTTTCGTTTTCCCAATGTGTATCACTCTGGTTTAGGGTATTCACTTGTGAACTCGTTTATGGTGCAGGGACATGTCGGCTAACCAGATGACCGGGAAGTTGCCTTCCTCCATGAGAGATTTATTATCTCTTAAGACATTGTGAGTGAACGAAACATGTTTCAGAAAGGAAACCGAAAAAATATGTGTGTATATATATATTGAACGTCCTTTTTATCCGTTTGTGTTGATAATCTTGGAGTTTAGGCATTTACAGAACAACAAGCTTATCGGGACGCTTGATGTTTTGGAGGATCTTCCCTTAACCGATCTGTAATCTTTTTCGCCTTATCGGTTCTTTGTCTTTTGCTCAAAACCAAGCTCTGCAATCACATTCCCTTCTTTAGTAACTTGCTCAAGATGTCATTTTTCTGGATTAGGAACGTAGAGAACAATTTATTCTCTGGACCGATACCGCCAAAGTTGTTGAATATTCCAAATTTCAAGTAAGTTTATGTAATTTGCGTTCATTTTCCTTGCCCGTTTTTTGTTCGGCTGAACCATTCGGGTCACTGTGTGCAGAAAAGATGGGACCCCGTTCAATACAACGATCATAACGCCACCACCGCCGGGAATTGTTCCTCCTCCTCCTTCCTCACGCCTTCCTCCAGTTTCCCCTCTTCCTCCTGCTTCTCCTTCTCCTCCTCTGGTTTGGCCGCCGCCCACTGACGACGATGGAGAGAGCGGAGATCCATTTAATGGTGTTCCCAGCTCGGGCCAGCCTACCTTGGAAATATCGACCCCTTCAGGGTCGGGGAAATTCTGGACGACGCAAAAGATCATCTTGATTGTTGCTTCGGTGGCGATAATCCTTCTTGTATCAGGTTTGTGTTTCTCACTTTGGAGATGCTGCAGAAGCAAGAAATCTTACCAGTACGATGCTGAAGCGTTTAAAGAAAACGTACCGAATCGCAGCAATAAACCCTCGTCTCTCCCGGTGGCTTCTGACATTGGAAAAGGTATTTCTTGATTCCTCAAATGTTGTTTGAGGTGGAAAGAAATTGTACTCGTTGTCATGGCGGTTTCTCTTTTCGTTTTACAGTTCCTCGTGAGCCGATGGTTAAGCCTTTCGATGGATACGGAGCAGACAACAGGAAAAACGGGTCTCAGCCGAAACCGCAAGTCATGGCTGCGGGTTCGGGTTACAAGACTGGTAATAGATTGCCGCCACAGAAACCGCTGCCGCGTCCCCCGATGCACTTTCGGTCTAACGAGGCAGCAGAGAGAGTGACTCGTTTTCCTCCGGGAATGAATTCATCGTCTTCTGCTACCGTTTTCACCATCGCTTCTCTTCAGCAATACACTAATAGCTTTGCGGAAAGGAACATTATCGGGGAAGGATCGCTCGGAAACATTTACAGAGCCGAGCTTCCTGAAGGGAAGGTGGGACTTCCCGACTATAGAATGCTTTTCTTACTTTCTAAGAATCTGATTTCGACGATTCTCGATCTGCAGTTACTCGCGGTGAAGAAGCTGACCGCAACACAGACCGACAGCGAATTCCTGAATCTAGTTTCCAGTGTGATCAAGCTTAAACATGGTAACATATTGGAGCTTTTCGGTTACTGCAACGAGTACGATCAAAGGTTGCTCGTTTACGAATACTGTCCGAATGGATCGCTTTACGATGCTCTACACGTCAACCGCAAAATGCAAAAGAAGATTACATGGAACATCCGGATAAAACTCGCGTTAGGAGCTTCCAGGGCGTTGCAGTAAGTAAAAACACCTCGGAATTTTCGTTTTCTTACATCGGTCTGTAGGGTCCAACCTGAGAGTTGTGATATTCGCTCGTAGGTTCCTTCACGAGGTTTGCCAGCCGCCGATTGTTCACCAGAATCTCAAATCTTCCAAGGTTCTCCTCGACGAGAAGTTTTCGGTTCGTGTTTCAGACAGCGGATTAGCTCATCTGTTACCGCCTCGTTCCACAAGTCAGGTTAATTTCTTAAGACAAAACTCACTCTTTTCTCGGCTTCGATTAGGGATGGTCATTTCGGGTTTTGGGTTAGATTATTTCGGTTTTGGAAAAACTATAACCACGGTTTTATATTGAATTCGGTTCACATTCGCTTTTTATTAATAAAATACTCATTTTCAAAGAACTTTTTGGGTTCAGTTATTTTTATTCGGTTCCTTTCAGGTTTAGTTTTTCCGGTTTTACCGATATCATAACCATTTGGTTTTTATATATCGGATTTGGTTCGGTTACGGTTATGTGTTATTCGGTTATTAACTAAAATTATATCGTTTGACTCGCAAAATTTGTCAGATGGCGGGTTACGCTGCTCCTGAGGTCGAATACGGGAGCTATACTTGCCAAAGCGATGTGTACAGCCTTGGGGTCGTCATGTTAGAACTGCTTACGGGACGAAAACCATACGACAGGTTCCGAGTTTGTTTTCGCTTGTTTTGTTCCTCCGGCTGTAGTTTCTGACGTCGATAAACCTCGTCTTCTCGCAGGACAAGGCCAAGGGGACAGCAATCGCTGGCACAATGGGCGATTCCTCAGCTTCACGACATCGATGCGTTGACGAGAATGGTCGATCCATCGTTAAACGGGGCGTATCCGATGAAATCCTTGTCGCGTTTCGCCGATATCATATCCAGATCACTGCAAGTGAGTTCTTGTTTCGTTTCGAGTGTTGTTTGTTGTTCAATGGATGAAGCAGTTACTGACCAAAGACGATGGTGTTCCTTACAGATCGAACCTGGATTCAGACCACCGGTTTCAGAACTTGTCCAAGATCTTCTGCATATGATCTGAAACCCTGAAGCCGAGAGAGAGAGTCCACTGTAAGATTATTGGGGGTTTTTTTTCCTTATTTTTTTTGGTTGTTGCATCATCCTCTGATGAATGCAAAAAAAAAACTGTTTCTTTTTTTGTGCTATAAAATTTTACAGTGTGATGGTGAACTGTAACTGCGTTTGCTCTTCGGTCTAGCGTTAGGAGCGTTATCGGCGTTGAATGCGTTAAGACTATGCTTCTATATGTTTCTGAAATCTAACTCTCGATCTCATGCATGCAACTCTAATCTAATCCACCTTAGCAGAATAAATAATAAAACAAATAAATAAATGTAATATTTCGGGACCGTATTAGGAAAAATTATACAAAAGACATTTCAAGTGATCCCAGGATATTGATACGGATTAAATTATTTTGATTTAGATAATTTTTACTCGTAGAAGTTAATCGTAAGGTTAAATAGTATATTTAATGAGGAGAGAAGAGTAATATACATGGTTATGCGTCTAGTTAGAGTCCAATTTAATAGTTTTTGCCATTTTGCGTAATTTTTCCCTATTTAGAAATTATGATAATTGTGTTAACATTTTAATAAAGTACAAACAAAAAAGGACATGCAAAGCACTTCATTATCATGATGTCGTGCGCATGCAAGAAAATAATAAATATGAAACCAAAAGACTATCCGATTATTCAAAGTATTCAAGCTTTTATAGTGACGAAATTGCATAATCAAATTTATGATTTATTAAAATCTGGATATTTGATTTTCATACGTCGTTGTTACCCTCGAGAAGTTGATAGGAGAAATACTTTTTACGGTTTAATTCGATTAATCTTTTGATGCGTAGATCATTTAATATATACAGATATTACAAAAAAAATCTCATGATTAAAAAATGGAGAAATTTTAATTTAAATATTCTTATACGAACCTGTAAGCAAATTAGACCGGCTCAACGTATATATTAAAAATTCAAATATCATATTTCTTATAAGACTTCTAAGATAAACCCAAGACTAGTCGATTTATTTTACCAAAAAAAAAAGACTAGTCGATTTATAATAACTGCTGTTGTTGGTGCATAAAAATTGGGCAAATAGATTGACTTTGTGAGTTGTTTTTTTTTTGTTAATTTGTAAATTTCAGTTCTTATAAAAGGTGTTATATTTAAATATTTGTAAATATGGCACATAAAAAGATATTTTTTTTCTCATAATTAGATCACACATTCAAAATATATATGTTTGGGTGAAAACAATAAATATATATATATATATATATATATAACAGTTCACGCAATCACAGAAATGAGATGTATCGAGGTTTGTAGACGTAGACTTCGAAAGATGCGTCCATTCGGGTCACCTCACGTCGTTCTAAATTTCTAATCGGATATTTTGGATTTTTGTTTTGTTTTTATTTGTAAATGTTATATTTATTTAGTTTTTACATTATTTTTAGTTTCATGGATATTTATTTTGTAATAAGTATATATATATATATATATATATATTGTTGAATTTCTCATGAAAGTTCAACAAAAAAAAAGAATTTGTCATGAAAAAACTCTATTTATAATGGTGTTGGTAATAATGCCCAAGGAAATAAAGAAACAAAATAAATAGAGAGGTCGACGTGCTAACTTCTCCCCAAGTCAGTACTTACGGCTATCAAGAGCCTCTGCGCGACTTTCTTTTGGGCGGGTTCTTCACATTCTGCTCGTAGATCACCCTCGAGGGTCGCTTGGGAGACGATTTGCAGACCAAAGAAAGAAGGAGGACTTGGCATCAGAACTCTAAAGGATCTGAACATGGTCCACCGGCTAAAGCTCGTATGGAGGACACTAAGTGACAGAGGTTCTTTATGGGCTAGATGGCTGAAGCAGAACGTATGGAAAAAGAAGAGCTATTGGACAACAACCGTGTCAAATCGGCTATCATGGAATCTCAGAAAGCTACTCTCAATCCAACAAGAAGTCAAATCATTTTTGCGCATGGAGATCGGGGATGGAACAAACACTATGTTCTGGCATGATACTTGGTTAGTTGAGCGCCCTTTGCTTGATGTAACAGGAAATGCAGGTCCGCGTCTTATGCGCATTGGTCTGGATGCAACTGTGGCTGAGGCATGCCGAAGTGGACACTGGTCAGTCCCAGGAGCACGGTCTGATGCGTTTGAATCGATTCTTATCCGTCTGACGACAGTGCAGACACCTAACGCAGATCGGGGACCAGATATAGCTACTTGGAAGCACAAGCCCGGAGAATTTAAGAGGGAATTTTCGGCTGCAAACACATGGGAGTTGATAAGGGAGCATTTAATCGAAGTAGATTGGTACCAAACCACTTGGTTTAAGCATGCAGTACCAAGATTCTCCTTCCTACAATGCTATCAAGATTGCCAACAAAGGATCGCCTTAGCCGCTGGGGATTGCAAGTGGATCAGATCTGCGTCTTGTGTTCAACGGAGCAAGAAACACATGGCCACCTCTTCTTTTCTTGTTGTTTTAGTTCGCAGGTTTGGAGTCCAATGGCAAGCTTATATCTACTCTCCAACCATCAATTGCAGTCCAAGTTCCTACATGGTTGAGCAATACAACCAACGACATGGTGAATCACAGAGCATTCTTGGCAAAACTGATTGTGCAAGCATCCGCCTATTACTTGTGGAAGGAGCGAAACCGAAGGATATTCACCGGAGAACACAAATCGACAGCTTACATCCGCCACGAAGTCGACCGAAGCATTAAAAACACTTTACTACCTCTTTCCACGAGATCTTTTAGTGCCCAATCACCCCTGTCTGATTGATATCTCCTTACGGAAAGTATCCGATCACAACCCTCCGACAACAATGGCATAAATCAATAGGATAGCTGTTTGTTTTGAAAATTGATATTTTATCTTTTTTTGGAGCATGGTAATCTGTTGTATAGAGCATTGGCTGGATCTTTTGTAATCATTATTTGATCAATTCATTAACCTTTTATGAAAAAAATATATATACATTGCGTTTGAGAAACGTGCCATTATCAAGGGTGTTTTCGTAAATTCAAAAAATAATGAAAATGTAAAAAATCTGAAAAGGTAGAAATTTCTCCGCTTTACATTTTCCGTTGTCTCTCTCCCTGTCTCTTCCTGCTCGTTGCAACTATTATTTGAATCTTATTTTTTTTTTTGGTAAAGTATTTGAATCTTATTTTATCTGTTTCTCCTTCAAGTTTCTCCAGAATCCAATTCTCTATCTCTCGCTCGTTGGATTTGATTTCTGGACAAGAAGCAATCTCTTTCCATGCTTATCCCCTTGGATCTTCGAGAAATCTCGACCTCTGTCGTGGAGTTGACAATTCATTTCCCAGTTCCGATTCTCTGGCTCTTCGATTGATTGCAGACGCAAATGGAATCCGATTTCGGGTTTAGGGTTTCTCTGGCCTGAATCAAGTTAAAATGGCGAAGCGTGGATATAAGCTGCGTATCCTTATGTTTCCGGGGTTGTCGATGTCGGAATTTTAGCTATGTTTTGAGCTCGATCCTAAGAATTTTTTGTGGTTTTGTCGCTGAATTTCTAGGGTTTATCCCTTTTCTGATCTTACCTTCTAGTTGATGCTAATGGGTTTAGCTTCAACATTTGTAAATTTGTTTTGGGTTGGATTCTCGGGGCTCTGTCTTATCTGAAAAGTCGGATTAAGACTTGTTTGATAGCTGAATTGATGATAGAGATGAAACTGCAAATTGTGTTCTCTCTGTTTGTTGCGATTCTTCTGTGGATGCAGTCTGTGAAAAAAGCTATGATCTTAGTTTATTATTTGCTTTATTTTTTCCTACCAAAATGCTTCAAAAGGTATTTATTTGTTAATAACTTGATTTGATTTGGAAAACAGAGGAGTGAAGAAACTGCAAGATGTGTTTTATGTGTTTGTTTTGATTCTTTTATGGATATGATCAAATCTGTAAAAAAGTTATGATCCTAGTCTATCTGCTTTATGTTTTGCTATCAAGATGCTTCAAAGGGTATGCTATTTGCTTATAACTTGACTTGATTTGGAAAAATAGAGGAGTTTTTGGCACATCCTGCAAATGTGAATTGTCTGCGTATTGGAAAGAAGACATCACGGCTTCTTATTACCGGTGGAGATGATTGCAATGTCAACCTTTGGGCAATTGGCAAGCCTACGTCTTTAATGGTGCATGTTCATGTTTATTCCCTTGTGTAATTTGTTCCACTACATTCGTCTTATTTGTTATCCGTCTGCTCAATGATACAAAATTTCATTCGGTTTCTTGATGACCTTTTTTGCCATATTTAAATTAATTCATCAGGAGTTCCATATTTGGTGGCATAAACGTTTGTTATCATGCACGTTATCATCATTTGTAAAATTATGGTCTGCCATTTCTTGTAAAAGCATATACTGTTCTGCATTCTTGTCTTGTGGTAGCGCATTGATAGAATAATGATTTGTATTTTATCTGTCTTGTTTGCAGAGTCTTTGTGGGCATACAAGCCCAGTTGACTCGGTAGCTTTTGACTCAGCAGAAGCTTTGGTGCTTGCTGGATCTTCTTCGGGTATGATAAAGCTGTGGGATCTGGAAGAAGCAAAGAGTAAGTCGCTGGTTTTTCTTTCCTTTTTTAAGAAAATAACTTACTTTGTCTACATGCTAGATTGCTCCATTTGATGGGAACATGTGGGATGCATTTGAGTTGTGGTCTGAGTGAAATCTATGGTTCTCTGAGCAGAGCGGTTTACTTGTTTTCACTCTTGCTCTTGAAGTGTAGTCGTTCAAGGTCTTACGGGACACAGATCAAATTGCTCTGCTGTGGAATTCCATCCATTTGGTGAATTTTTTGCATCTGGATCCATGGACTCGAATCTAAAGATTTGGGATATCAGAAAGAAGGGCTGCATTCACACGTACAAGGGTCATACTCGTGGCATTAGCACTATCAAATTTAGTCCTGATGGCCGTTGGGTAGTGTCTGGAGGACTTGACAATGTTGTAAAAGTAAGATCAGCAGTATCACATAAGGGGATTTGTGCTTCTTTAAGAAAAATGTTCTCCCATAAATGTTCTTATAACTGTTTGCTCTTCATTGTACTTAATAGGTATGGGATTTGATTGCTGGAAAGCTCTTGCATGATTTTAAATTTCATGAAGGACATATTCGTTCCATTGACTTCCATCCACTTGAGTTTCTCCTTGCCACAGGTGAGTCTCTGTTTGCATATCTTCATTCGTTTTCTCTTTGCATTTAAAAATTGCCAATCTGATAACAATTGTAACTAGATGAACTGAATTTCTATGAACATTTTTATTTTCATGTCCTCTGATTTTTTGTACAACCAATTTATTATTCAGGTTCTGCTGACAGGACTGTCAAGTTCTGGGATTTGGAAACATTTGAACTGATTGGATCTTCCAGACCAGAGGTACTCGAGCTTGTGTTTCAAAATTTCAGGTGTTGGGTAAATTTGATGGCTTAGATATCACTATGTCCTGCTTTGGCCAAGAGAATACCGCAATTTTTTTCATCTTTATAACCTTCTATTGTGATAGTTGATTATACGGCTGTGATTGAGGAATCACCATACGCTTACATTATATGAAAACTCCTTTTTTCCCATTCCTGTGAAAAGAGCATGTTGGAGAAGTGCCAATTCATTATAAACTTCTTGAGTTACTGTTTATATACAATATAGCTTCTGATGAAGTAATTTCTTTTGGAGACTTTGCAGTCTTATCATAAAGTTCTCATCATTTGTACATTTTTGAATCTTCACCCAGACATTTTGTATTTCTTGTTTCACAGGCCACTGGAGTTCGTTCAATCGCTTTTCATCCGGATGGTCAGACCCTTTTTTGTGGATTGGATGATGGTTTGAAGGTTTGATTTTATTCATGACTCTGTATGGCTTCATGTGTTGTCAATTTCAAATGCTGATATCATCAACTCATGCTTGTAATGCAGGTTTATTCATGGGAACCTGTGGTTTGCCATGATGGTGTTGATATGGGATGGTCAACACTTGGTGACTTCTGTATCAATGAAGGGAAGCTCCTGGGTTGCTCATACTACCGAAATTCTGTTGGAATATGGGCTGCAGATATATCGGTATGTCATTGGTTGTGATTACTGATGCTTTTTGAAAGTTTAAAAGTTAATAAATGGAAGGATTTTAGATACTCAGATTCCTAAATGGAAGGATTTTAGATACTCAGATTCCTTTTCTTTTTTCCTTCAAGTTTAGCAGATTATCGAGCCATATGGAGCTGGAACGGTGGATAAAAACGAGTATGTGGAAAAAACATTTAGTATGATAGATGATCAATCTTCTGGAGGAACAGGGAGTGTACCAAGGAGAAGTACATCCCCAGATTATGAAACTAAGGAGATAAAAAACATATATATTGACTGTGAGTGGATGCTACCTTTTCATGCATTCGTCTTTCTCTTCTTTGAAGTTAGAGTTCAGGTTTGTTCTTTTGATTGGGTAAACTTATTAATGGTTAGAGTTTCCTTCTTCCTTTCCTGGTTTGTCCAACATTCTGATGTAAGAAGATTGTTGATGTTTTCTGGTTGCCCTTTCTTCCTTTGTGCACAATTATAAATGAAAATTGAATCTGCTTATTGTGAATAAAATTTAGCTGAATGTAGGTCATTGCTATCCTTCTAGGAGATCTTGTCGATAGAAATAGGAAGGATATTAAAGCTTGGAGCTTTCTAATCACAATCACCATTGTAAAATTGCGCCGTACCTTACGTTTTATGGCTATTGAAACTCAATAAGACTGAAATGCAATTTAATAGTCTTCTTTCAAGTTGAGCTTTACTAAATGAGTAAAGTTGTCCTATCGATGGCATCAGTGTGGGACTTGGAATCTATAAATCTAAATCGATTTAATTTTTGGATGTGAAAAATCAGAACAATGTGATGTTCATGTATATCACTTCAGTGTTCTAGTGTTTATGTTTGTTCTAATATGAGCCTCTCTCTTCTGTTTAAAGCCACAGGTGGAAATTCTACTGCTGCAGAAAAGCCAGGATCCCTAAGTGCTCCAAAAGTGGTATTGCCTATGGAATCTGGAAAAGATAGCAGTATGATGGGCCGGAAGCAGTCTGTTGGACGAACAGAGGACAGGTCTTTTTTCGTGCCTAGTGTTGTACAGCGGGACAGTGATATGGGAAGAGATTCTTCTGATTCTGGAAGGGACTCTATCGCTTTCTCAAGAACTAGACCAGGGATGTTACTAAGACCAGCTCATGTAAGAAAAACCGCAACAAAGTTTGATGAAACAAAGCAGTCAGCTGCTGTTCTGTCTGGGGATCAGAAGAAAAGCGGATCCGATACTGAAAAGGAGGCAGGTACTCAAAACCTGCGTATGAAATTAACTGAAGTGGAGGATTCTACAATCAAGGGCATTGCGGACAAGTTTGAAAAAGCATTATCGCCAGAACCACCGGCTAATGAAGTGAATCGTGGGTTCCCAGTTCTTAAATCAGTCTCATCAAATATAACTTCTGGATGCCTTAGTTATATCTCTTTCCATATCTCATTAAATCATGTGTCAGGTATTCTGCTGAAACCGCCTCGTGTACAGAGGTCACCAAATCCTAAGTCTAGTGAGGCTAGACGGACATTATCTGTTGATTCTGGAACTTTTGACCATAAAAAGGGTGGGTTAGAGAACTCAACAGACATAGACTTACAAGCAGGCTATGCTAGCGAGGGAAGTGGTAGAAACCTGTCCGAGGAGGATATCAACAAGAGTGTTGCCAGCAACCCTGAAAGAGTTCTATCACCTGAAAAACCTGATTATGACCTGAAAAGTAAGTTCTTGATTCGGTATCAGAATTCACTAATTAATAGACGCTTCTGCTTACAAAGTACCTAGTAAAACTCATGCACCCTTAATGTGTTTGGCTAAACTTTCTTGTCAATCTTTCAGCTTATGAGAAGCATGTTATTAAATAAAAGCCCGTCTACCAAACCTGAGGAAGTTGATCTGGAAGAGCCACTAAATACTATTAAGTTACTAAAAAGAGTAGCATATGGTTTACCAAAATCTAAATTTTTTAGTTAGTGTTTGAACTCGATTTATAATTTTCATCATCTGTTGTTCGTTCTGGTTCAGTTACTTGGTTTCGAGGCAATTATCAATTGTAACTGGTCAACATAAATATTCGTTTATGTAGGCCTCGAATCCCCTGGAGGCAACAATGAGTCGAACTCTGTTAAGATTGTAAGAGGAGGTAAGCCAGTCACTATCTCTACTCTCTCCGTTTTTTTAATCGTTAATGTCTAGTCACTAGTTATTATTTTGTAAGAGTATCTATATTTGCAGTAAAAGTTGTTTCGGGAAGGACACGTTCATTGGTCGAGAGATTTGAGAGAAGAGAAAAATCTACTCATACTGAAGAGAAGACAATTAGTACAACATCAAATCACAACATTAATATGCAGGAAGAGATCAGTACAACAAAGAGACATGCAGTGAGTACAACTCCAAACCCGGTAATGCCTCTAGTACTTGATCGGACAACTAACACGATGTCTGAAGAGCCTACTACGATTTTAATACGGCGAGCTAGGAGTACTCCAGCACGAGTAATGCCTGTGGTACTCAATCAGGCGTCTGATATAACAACATCTGATGAGTCTCTTGTAACTTCGACACTATCAGCTAGGACTTCTCCAGCCCGTGTATTGCCTACAAGATCCGATCAGGCTAATAACCAGACATCTGATATGTCTCATATAGCATCCAGGCAGCGAGCTAGCCCTACGGTACTCGATCCAGTGGTTAATAAGACAGCAGATGAGTTGCATGTAACACCAAATCGACCAGCTAATGATATTTCAGCCGAGGTAACGAGTGTTCTTCATAAATCAGACAGCTAATAAACAGAAAAATTTTACCTTTCTGTTGGATATCCAGCTTGTTGCACATTTGATTCTAGTAGTTATGGGTGGTATAGGAGAATAGAAGAGCTCGACAATGACAAGTTTTTTATATGATGATTTTTTTTTGTTTTGTTTTTGCATCTGCAGAAAGAAGAACCTCAAATATCTGGGAGGGAGAATGATAGTGACATCCTTGAAGATTTGAATCAAACTCATGATGCATTCTTAACCACTCTTCAGTCGAGGTTGACAAAATTACAGGTAATTTTTATCTCTGTGATTTTCCTTGGGCTCTTTTCCCTTTTTTGTGTTACTACCGTTACTTTGGACGTTCTTGAATATTTGAATATTCGGCAAAACTCTAGCTATTGTGTACTTTTTTGGGCAAAAAATTCCTTCTTTTTCTGTCACTATGTTTTTCCTTTTTATTCCCTCCGTATGGAGCACAAAGTGCCTCTAAGTAGTTGTACTACGAACATGCAGATTGTAAGACACTTTTGGGAACGGAAAGATATTAAAGGTGCAATTGGTGCATTGAAGAAGCTGTCCGATCATTCTGTGAGTATCACAGTAGCTACTTTTAAGCATTCTTGCGTTTGATCTATGATGCTTAGATAACCCAACTCATTGATCCTGGAACAGGTCCAGGCAGATGTTATCGGTATCCTAACGGATAAAACAGAGGTTCTGAAACTTGATCTGTTTTCTGAATTGCTCCCTATCCTCTCTGGCTTATTGGGTAGCCGGGCTGAGAGGTAAAAAAAAACTCGTAATACCTATATGCTTTGGCATCACATTTGGCTTGTGAAAGAGAACAAAAACAATAAACCCATTTGTTGATTGCTTTTTCCTACTCCATTTGATGTTCTCAAGCCCTTTACTTTAAGAAAGGAAAGAGATGGATTGTCATAATTTATGTCATCTTCTTCTTGACCGTGAACTATTTACACGACTGAACAGGCCTGTAAATGTATCCTTGGAAATGCTCTTGAAGCTTGTAGCAGCGTTTGGTTCTGTTATACGCTCAACCGTCTCAGCTCCACGAATTGTAGGTGTTGATCTTCATGCGGAGGAAAGGTACTTGATATTGGGACATGGGTTTAGGTTTCTTGAACGTTATGAAATCAGATTTTGGTGTGTGATTAATCCTTTGTTGCCTTTAAATAAACAAACAAAACATAAACTCCGTAATGCAGGTTAGAGATTTGCAGAAGTTGTTTCGCGGAATTGCAAAAGGTTCAGAAGATTCTTCCTGTACTCGCAAAACGAGGCGGTATAATATCAAGAAAGTCTCAAGAGCTAAATCTAGTTCTTCAAGAACCATAGGCCATGGCCATCATCTTCTTCACGGGTTTCACCAGATCTTGGGTGTGAATATTAACACAAAGCTTCTCTCGTATTCCCTCAGCCAAAATCCGCTGTTTCACGTGGCGGGTTTTGGGCAAAAACTCGAGAAGGGACACATGGATTAAGGTATCGGAAAATCGGTATGTTGTAAATCATCTTTTGCTGGAGCTATTGATACTGATTCATGTGATCTTTGATTCAGTGATTAATGTTCTTAATATTATTTCCTATGCCTCTCCCTTGATGTATTGTCTCTTTTGTTGAAATTAAGTATATGAAATTGATCCATTATAATGATAATATTATTTGTTTCATGTGATTAAAGATGTATAATAATATTTCATTTGCTTATAACATAGGAAAAGACAGACAAGGACTCTTTATGTTATTGTTTGTTAAAAAGTGTTTTTAACCACTTTTTAACATTTTCGTTTTGGAATTTATTTAACTCTTTTAATTATGTTTCGATCAAATAAAATTAAGTTAAACTGAAAAAAGCAGCATATATTATCCTACCAACAACGTAATTCATTTTTTTATTATACAAGTTTTAAGCATGCATGCAGGCTGTAACATAAACATAATGATTATTCATAGCAATATATTTTCTGTATTTTTTTTTTGTGCAAGTACAATGAACATTGTAACAAAGCCAAACTATAGTGAACAAAAGTCAAATTACTTATAAAACATAATTTGTTCGTATTCGTGAACTGTTGGACATAAAAGCAAAATGAAGGATATATTTTCTTTATAATTTTAAATTTAATTGTTCCCACTTACTAAATTTTTTAATATAATCTACTACTTGACTTTGTGGTACTTTGCCATGCTAGCGACTGGATATATAAATTATAATTGAATGCGAAGAACTATCATTTGCAAATATATATTCCGTAAAGAAAGTTTAATATAATCTTAAAATATTTTTAATAAATTTTCATATTACATTTATTTCATATGATTATTTGTTTTGGTTTTATATATTGGAAATTAGATATATAATTCTATCAAACTTTATATCCTGATTCATATTATGATTAATTTTTTTGTCGTGGAAAATTTGGGCTTAAACATAAATTTAAATTGAAATATATGGAAAACAATTAAATACGAGTCTACTAACTAATGAAACTGTAATAAATCACTTCACAGTCTTTGAATGATGGTGTTGACGTTTGCCTTTTGTAGAAATAGATTATCCATTTGCATAATCTGTATTTAATACACGGTCAAAGGAGTAGTTTCACATTTTAAAAAAAAAATAAAATCAAAAGAATTAGGTACCGAAAGATAACAGATTTGTCACGAGAAATTGGAATTGGTATACCAAAAAATTGACGGATCAGTAGTAATCATATATAAATGTGGACTTATATATATATATATATCAATGCTATATTTTTTTGGTAAAGATATGAATATATATGGATATATTATACTAATTATTTCAACGAACGAATGGTGGCTAGTCATGTGTATACTAAATCCATATTGTTTGATCACCAAGGGGTTTATCTCAAAATTCTTTTAAAAATAACAATAATTTTTTTGGATAATAAGCTTGATGTATATAGATATAATTACAAAAGAGAGGAAAAAAATATTAAATATACCGGTTGACAACTCGCAAGAATAAAGACTGGTCCCGGGCCTAGGGTGGATGTAGTCGGGCCGAAGTCCCGGAGAACTATCCTAGTTATCAAAAAAAAAAAATCGCAAGAAAAGAGAAAAAAAAAAGAAACTAATTAAAAAGGAATTAATTAAGTAATTAGGAGTTGCTTTGGGAGTAAACGACAGGCAAACGCTGTCTCATTGAATTCGTTGTAAAAAACAATAATGGCGGAACGCAAAACATGGAATATTTTTTCTTTATTGCCTTCTTTTTTCCTTTCAAAAACATATAATTGTTTTTTTTTTAAATTTTGATCCATCAATTCTCGTGTTCGGTCACAGAATCCAACCTACGCAAAGATGATTATTTTATCCATAATTACATAAACAATTAATCAAGAGAGAGAGATTCATCAGACGACACGAGTCGCTTCCACTCAAGATTCGTTCGTTGTTGGGTTTGGTTCGATCCATCGACCTATTTCGGAAATCTGTTCCTCCGGATAAAAAAAAGCTCTGTTCTCTCTCTCTCTCTCTCTCTCTCTCTCTCTGTGGACGAGCTTCATGGGTTCTTCCCTTTGATTCTGCAGCTGGTGATGTTTCATCACAGTTTGATTCTGCATGCTTCAGATTTCTTCAGGTTTCTTCAAATTTCTTCACTTTGACGATTCCTCTTGTCTTTTTTTTTTCTCTCTCTGTGTTTATGTCTTGTCCCTTGTAATAAAAGATCAGGGCTTCGATATTTATTACGCCGACATTAATTTATTCCCGTAAAATTTCAAAATTGTTTATTCACGTTTCAGATTCCTTCCATTGCATTTGCCTCTATTTCTTTTTTGTTCATAGACAGAGGATTGCAGATTTCTTTTTTTTTTCCCATGAATTAATTCGCATTGAAGGAGCGTTTTAATTCCTGTAACCATAAACAGTATTTGCTCCCCCTAGATCTGATTTTTGTTTTTATATAAAATAATTTTTTTACATAACTTTCCCAATTTTCTTCGTCCTCTCAAATCCCTTAGCCGTTTCGCTTTCTCAGTGACCCCGATGGTTCGTCATTTTCCGGGAAAGTAAGCGAAATCCCCCGAAAGGCGTCACCTTTGTATGGCCCATTTTCTCGGGAAAAATTTTTCATGTCTTCGGATAAACACCCTTTGATTGCTCGTTTTCCAAGCTCCCAGTTATCATTCCGTCTCATTGAAAGGTTCTTGTTCTATCATATGTTGCTCTTTGCAGATAGATAGATTTTTCTAAGGCTCTGATTTTATTTCCTCTATGCTAATCTTGAAGTTTGAGTTAGTCTTGTCTCTTTTTGGCCGCGGCTTTACAATGGGTGAGTTCTTGCTACAGATATTTGGACTGAAGCCAGCATGCATGTACCTGAATCAGCCTTTCAGACACGGATTTGGTGACAAGTAGTTCGGATTCGTGTTCTTGTTAGCTCTCTGATATACGGGTGAGTTAAAAGTTTCCTTCTTTTTTCGTTAAAAGCTTTGATAATCTTCATGCAAAATCGGTGGGTTTGTTTGTATATCGCTCTTACTTCTGCTATTGTTGGAGAATGGAAATCGAAAAGCTCTGATTTTGCAGATTTCTGAGTCTTCTGCAGATTGTTGTATAGGTTATGGAACATGCTTTGCCGTCTATGAAATCGATCAAGTCATGGAAATCACTTGTGAAACGAAGAAACACTTCACAGGAAGGGGTACGATTCCATTTCCAAGAAGTTGATTTTCTCCGTACAAGACGATTTTGATTTTGAAATTGTGTAGTGTGGGCTTTTCAGGTTAAATCGGGGTGGAAAATGAAGCCGTTTATGGCGATCCTTTGTACCGTTCTGTTGATCGTTTGGTATAAGACAACTAACATTCAGTATGAGCAGACAGAGGTATGGTGGATCTGTTTGTCATTTGTTGTGTTATTCGATGTGAAATTCTCTGGGCAAAGCCGTGTAAATTCTCCTTTGTACGGTTCTTTTGATCGTTTACACTTATCGTGTTCTTCTCTACTCACAGATGGAAGAACAAGATTATCCTCTTGAAATGGCAAAGGTAACATTTAAAATCCGATATCAATAACATTAAGCTTTTTCTTCGTGTTTCTTGACCCGTTACCGGTATAAAGTTCAAGTCTCTTTTTTTTTCACAATCATGGTCAGGAATCTGAACCGGATAATGAATGGTTGAAAGGCTTACCTCTCGGTATAAGACACTCGAGGTCAGATTTGGAGTTGAAGCCTCTTTGGTCCAGAAGTAGCTCGAGGTTAAAGGTTAGTGGAGATTGGTTAGTTTTCAATTCACTAGCATCTAGGGGTGGCCATTTCGAGTTTGGGTTCAGTTTTAGGAAAACTATAGGCATTCCGTTTTGCTATTGATTTGGGGCTCCGTTCTATTGTGGTTCAGGTTTGGTTTTTATTGATAAATGTACTCGTTTTTCAAGAAATGTTCGGGTTTAGAGAGGTCGTAACCATTCGGTTTTTATATTTGATTCGGTTCGTGTCGGTTCAATTATTCGGTAATTAATCAAATTAGCATCAATGTGAACAAACGTGTTTTTGCAGATAGGTAACCTTTTTTTAACCTTTGTTTTCTATAAATCACAGGAAGGCGAATTGACCAACCGTAACTTGTTGGCAATGCCGGTAGGTATTACGCAAAAGGACAATGTCGATACCGTTGTACAAAAGGTATTCCATTTTTTTATTTGCTCGGGTTAGTGAATACTTTGCAGAGGGAAAAAACTTCTTTTTAACCGTAATTCTTGCTCAGTTTCTACCATCGAATTTTACCGTTATTCTGTTCCACTACGACGGGAAAATGGATAACTGGTCGGATCTAGTGTGGAGTTCGAAGGCTATACATATAGTTGCACAGAACCAGACAAAATGGTAAGCATATAATGTCACAAGAGTATACACTATGCTTAATAATAACGTTAATGTAGTTATCGTTTTTTTTTTCAATATTTTGCTCGTATTCAGGTGGTTTGCGAAACGTTTTCTTCACCCCGATGTAGTGTCCATCTACGATTACATATTTCTTTGGGATGAAGATCTCGGTGTGAAGAATTTTAATCCCGAAAGGTGAATCGAATACACGAAGCATTACTATGCACCTTTTTATCTTAAATCCGAATCAATTTTTACCGTAGTTTTGGAATTTTTCTGTAGATACCTTAGGATCATTAAATCAGAAGGGCTGGAGATATCTCAGCCTGCTTTAGACCCGAACTCTACCGAAATTCATCATAGGATCACAGTTCGTTCTCGATCAAAACGAGTTCATCGGTGAGTTCCTCTGGATCAATTCTTTCGGATTTTTCTTATCGTTTTCGTGGTTTCGTTACCAAAATTCTGAAATACAGGAGAGTTTACGATCATAGAGGCAATATGAAGTGTTCCAATGCTAGTGAAGGTCCTCCTTGTACAGGGTAACACAAGAAATTCCATGATTTGTCAAGGATTTTGGCTATTGTCGGTATTTTCGATTTCATATCTTCTTTTTTCGGAGTGCAGATTTGTGGAAGGAATGGCTCCGGTTTTCTCGAGAGCTGCATGGTTTTGCACTTGGCATCTTATACAAGTATTAGTCCTTTTTCTTGAAGATATATGTGATCCCGACTTTACTGAAATCATCATCCCGAGGCAAATTATGTGGTCGTAATTTTGATTGCAGAATGATCTTGTTCATGGATGGGGAATGGATATGAAACTTGGGTATTGCGCACAGGTGACAACAGTTCATCTTCTTCGGGTTTCCAAACGTTAGAAAGTCGAAGAATTTGATTTGATATATAAAGAACCCGAAAATTTGTCGGATTCCCCTCTTGAAGAATTTGCGTTTTCATGCCCGGGATTTAGCTGAAGTTTCAACCTTTGAGTGTTGCAGGGCGATCGAACGAAGAAGGTCGGGATCGTGGACAGCGAATACGTCTTTCATCACGGGATTCAGACACTAGGTGGCAGTGGACACCCCGAGAAGAAGGTATTATTTTCTTTTGCATCGGCTCTTTTTTGAACGAGTTGAACCAATGTTTTCCTGACCTGTTAACGGGCTCGCGGGCTACAGCTAAAACCGAGTATTTTCCAGCTCGTTTTCGTGACGATCCGGGCCGAGCTGAGCCAACTCCCTTGCATGTTCGCTGATATTCGTTCGTCTATTAATCGGCGTTTTCTGTTTCTCTGCAGACTGCAGCTCGAAGCGTATCGTCTCGGGTAATGAATCAGACTTTTATATATATATATCGCCATTGAAAAAACAAATGTCTCTCTCTCTCTGTCTCTGGTTAAGACAAGAATCTCACATCTTCTATGAACTTTTGGTTCGTGTTCTTTGCCCTGTCTTTTGATCAGAGACGTGGCTCTGCAACTTTCGATTCAAGAACAGAGGTTATTTTCTTTCTCCAGTTTCCATTTTCACAGAAACCAAACACTTGGAAACAGAGGGTAATTGTTGTTGTTGTTGTTTTTCTGGGGAGGAAGCAGATAAGGAGGCAATCGACATGGGAGCTGAAAGCGTTCAAAGAGAGATGGAACAGAGCAGTCGAGGAAGACAAGAGCTGGGTCGATCCCTTCCCTCCCCGACTGTCTCTTCAGAGACGGAATCGAATATCCAGACGGATCCCTTCTTAAATACGCATTTGAAAAAAACAGAAGTTATATATGTATACACACACACACATGGTTAGTACTGTAGCTTATGTGTTGTAGTTTCTTTGTAGATTTTGGTCTGGTCCCATTGTTTCAGGACATATAATTTCTAATATATATATATATTTATATATATATGGAAATTTTCTTGGGAATCGTACGAGTCACGTTGACACTGATTGATGATGGACTAGCTGGTAGTAGATCATTGATAGAATCTGCATGTAGATGTGTTTTCGTTCTATTTTGTTTTTTTTCTGTAGGACATAGCGTTAATCGGTATTGTACCGAAGTTGACAATGCGATCTATTCTTATGAAGGATAAGACTCTAACCATGGTTTCTAGATCGATCATTGATGCTTATCGGAAGCATGTGGATAATGATGTGGACAAGTCTAGCTTGACGTTTGGAAATATGGCCTCGGAATTGCGTAAGCGATTAGAGGACATGGACGATTCTTTGATAGTTGATCAGTTGAATGCGTCATTCCAAAAGAAAGCTGAGAGCCATGGAAAGAGTAATATGGTAGTTGTTGGAAAGAGTTTCAGCAAAAGGAAGCGTTCCAAGAGCAAGGGCAAAAGGAAAGTGACAAGCGTTGTCATTGAACCTAAGCCTAAGTCCAAAAAGGAAGAGTGTTATTTCTGTCATGCCGTTGGGCATTGGTACAGAAATTGTAGACTCTACCTGCAAGATCAAGAGAAGAAGAAGCTTATAAAAGTATCGAATTCTAGTGTCTTCGTTATGGAGGCTAACTTGTTTACTTCCACATCGTGGGTATTGAATACCGGAATTGCCTCGTACATTTGTGGAAATGTGTAAGCGTTGCGAGGAAGTAGACAGTTGGAAAAGGAGAAGTAGATATGCACGTTGGGAATGGAGCAAGTTCATTTCTTTTTTTTTGGATTTCTTTACAGGGTTTTAGGTATTAGTTTTAGTGTAAATGTTGTTTCTGTTTTAGAGAATTCATGGGCACTGCCCAACAAAACCACAGATATTTTTTTTAATGGGATTTGTGTGGATCTGCATTTTTTTTATTGCCTGTTTTTGTTAAATAAGTATTTTCGAATATTTCTTCTATTTTAATCGTATTAATCGTGCCTGGATTTATGACATAATAATAATATTTACGGAATAATCTGTTACCAATAGAAAAAAAAAGGAGAATCGAAATATTAGATTTAAATCATAAACAGCTTTACTTTGCTTTCGGCCAGCGAATAGATTCTTGATCGTACAACATGGGATTTTTTGTGTGTGTCTCAATGTATATATATCTTCGTAGGAATCTAATAAATTGTTTGAATTTTTATATGCATAATTTAATTTGATCAAGAGTAAAGCTTTCGCTTTATAATTAGCACGTGATTTTAATGCAAAATTGCGGGAAGAATCTTATTGTCCCGAGTGACTGAATGACTAATCTACCCTCACAATTAGTTTAATGATGAAAGTGGGATTAGAGCTGTTGTCCACTAAAGTCTATTTTTTTTAATTGCTTTATCACTTTTTTCCTTATCATTATCAACTTTGGCTTGAGATTCAATGTATTGGGTTGGATTATTATGTTTTTCTTCAAAAAATAAAATTTAAATTTTACGCACCACCCTACAATAAAGAAACTTTTATAAAATAAAAACAAACAACCAATTGTATGGCCTTTAATTTTAATGATATGTATTTAAAACATATTAAGGATAACCAACTAATCTCTTGCTTCACAATACCATTTGTTTTATAACTCAGTACACTGAATAAATGTTAACAAATCAAAATCTAAACAAAATTTAGAAAAAATTAAATGCATTGTGAATATTATCCCGTAAAATTTAGGGAATTTTAATTCTATTTTATTCCGGTTGATCTCCTACAATTTTCCGGTTAAATCTATTTATATTGCAACTCTTACCAAATTTAGAGTGATGCCTAATTATGTATATTATGTAACAGGGAAAAGCAAAAGATTACATCAAATCTAGAGGGCGGCGATGGCATAATAGTAATATTAGCAAAAGGAAGGGCGTTTAGAGAGGACTCATGTATGTATATATATATGATCCTATACGACGATGTTCAGCAATTCAACCCCTTTAGTTAATCAGTCATTTCTCTCCATAAACAAAACCGAGAAGTCAAAGCAAATGGCAGGAATGAGAAAAGTCAACATGATCAACGGTGAGGATGGTAGAAGGAGAGAGAGAAGCAATATCGGCCGTCCGATCCCGAAGAGAGGGCAAGTGAAAATGGCTATTTTGATTGGTTTTGCCCACTCCTTTGCTTCAATGTTTTCCTCCAAAGCTTCTTCCTCTCATTTTCCATAGAAATATTTTTTTCCTTTTTTATTTTGAAATTTTGGAGATATATATATATATATTGTAAAATATGTTTTGGTTTACAAAATTGTAATATCTCTTGGAGGCATATGGATTTTATTTTGTCTAGGCGTTTAATTAGAGTTTGATTCATGTTGTCATTTTTGTACAAAGCTTCATTAGTTTCCCTTATTCAATGCAGTATCTCTTGCCCCTTTTTTTCTGAGATATTTTTGTACATTATTGGATCTCTACAAATATAAAAAAAATCGAAAAAAATCATGTAATAAAATTATCTGAGATATTTTTTTATAGTTATGATGTATTAATTTCAGAATTTTCTGAAATTTATTATTTTTTTTCGATTTATAGAATAATTAAGTTTGGATCACTTTGGTATCATATTCAATTTATATATAGTGAATGACTGATTAACACCACAAAGTTCACAAAAGAGGGATAGATAAATGGCGATGGATTAGTGATGAAGAAGAAAAAAAGAGTGATTAGCGTTAGTTAATCGTGTTAATTAACCAACAAATCTCCTTATTAGTTGCCTTTGTTTAGGGTTTATTTGGGGATTTAAGCTGCAGCGACATCAACGTGAGCCTCACCAAAAACCCTGTTTAGCACCATTGCTAGTCTTACTCCTCCTCGAGCTATTCTTTCCATCACTATTGGCAGTCTTGAATCGAAATATTCATCTGCAAATATATTAAAATTAAAAATAATTTAAAACATCAAAAATTAACAATGGTAAATTTAGATATTTTAGTTATATATTGGATTCAGTTCAAATTAGATAAACTAATAAATGTTTTAGAATTGAAATTAATTTAGATCGGTCATGGATAATTGTTAATGACTTTTTTTTGTTTTGTCTAAATAATAATAATAATAATAATAATAATCAAATCCTCAGAACTATGGATCCATGTTATCATATACATTAGATTTAGATTTTGGTTACATACAGTGGTTGGCCTTCGATATGTGTATGTGTATATATATATATATATGATTGTAACGAGACAAAAGCGTATATATATATATATATATATATATATATATATATATATA